TCTCCCAGTGCCGGGTCTGGGAGAAGTACTCGCCCTCCCCACATTCCTCCCCGCACAACCCTGGGTGGGAGAGGCCTGCATTCTTACCTCCCTCCCAACATCCCCACCCTTCCCAAAGTCCACCCTTGGTGCTACAGCTCCCAGCCCAGAAGTCACCAAGCCTTGACTTGTGGTGGCTTGTTTCTTGTGTCTGGACATCTGCAGCTGCCCAGCTGGTCTCCAGGCTCCCGCCTCTGCCCTCCCAGATAGCCCACCTGGTCCCACGACCAGACCTGTCATCTTACGGAGTCCAACCTGGCCCTTCCCACAGCATGGGAAGAAAAGCCCAGTTCCTTAGCCAAGGGGCCCTGCGAAGACAGCTTTGGTGCACACAGGCGGGTGTGCAGTGAAGAGGGAGAAAGGCGGCAGGCCTGGCCCACAAGCTTCCTGGAGAGGGTGGTGTCCCAGCTGGACCCTGAAGGATTTGGGGGAGGAGGGGAGGTTTGAATGGGCGGTGACTGGGAGGCAGGGCTTGCTGAGGTGGGAAAGCAGTCTGAGCAAAGGCTAGGAGGTTGGTGCTCCCTTGATGTGGCCCCTGGGTGTGGCCTGAGTAGGTGTGGGGAGGTGTCCTGGGGATAAGGCCCAGATCAAGGTGGGCTGGGGCCAGATACTGGAGAGCCCCAGGCCCCAGCCGTGGACTCTGGCCCTTCATCTCTGGGCAGAGGGGGCTGCCAAAGTCTTCTGTGCAGGGACACACTTGTGCTTTGGAGGATGGCTCTGCCAGAGTGAGGAGGATGGAGGAGGCTGAGAGCCTGCAGGCTGGGAGACCTATGTGCTGGTCCAAGCTGGAACAGATGAGGGTCTGAATGGAGCACTGATTGATGGCATTCATTCATTCATTAATTCAGTCATTTCTCACCTATGTATTTGGTGTTTACTATATGCTAGGCATTGTTTGAGGCACAGGGGATTTATTTATTTCTTTTTTTTTTTTGAGATGGAGTCTTGCTCTGTCACCCAGGCTGTAGTGCAATGGCACAATCTCAGCTCACTGCAACCTCTGCCTCTGAGGTTCAAGCAATTCTCCTGCCTCAGCCTCCTGAGCAGCTGGGACTACATGTGCCCACAACCACGCCTGGGCTAATTTTTTTTTATTTTTAGTAGAGACAGGGTTTCACCATGTTGGCCAGGCTGGTCTCAAACTCCTGACCTCAGGTGATCCACCCGCTTTGGCCTCCCAAAGTGCTGAGATTACAGGCATGAGCCACCACACCCGGCGGGCTGGGGGATTGCAACAAGCCCAGCCTGTGCTCTCAGAGAGCTGGCATGGCCATGGGGAGACAGACAGGACCATTTCAGGTGGTGATGAGCTCTCAAAGGAGAGGAGGGCAGCCCTTGGCAGGAAACGAAAGTTCAGTGTGTGTGCTCCTGAGTCCCACTGTCTCTCTCCCACGAACTCCCTCCCTGGAACAGCAGGCAGGTGCCCACTTCCCTCCTCTCATGTGGTGGCCCCAGATGCTTCTCCCCAACTTGTGCACACCACTGGATCTTTCAGCTCTCCAGACCCATCCTGTGTCTTCTGTGCCCACAGAGCTCGGTTCCTCACTGACCTTGATCTCCCAGCATGCGTCCTCAATGAAGTGCCATGAGAGGCTGAGCTGAACTTCAGCCCTACCTCTGGCCACATGACCCTACACAGACCACTCTCCTGCCCTGAGCCTTATTTTCTTCTCTGAAATGGGTCTAATAATGGCATCTTGTCAATAAAGCATCTGACACAGAGTGGGAACCCAATAAATCCCAGCGCCTGTTCCTTCTGCTGGGATCCTCAGGTGCTGCTCAGCCTGCTTCAGTGGGCCTTCTGTGAACTGTAGCTCTGCTGGTGTCTGGGGCAAACCACGTGGTCTTCACAGCCTTGCACCCGCCATGTTGCTCCCAATCCCTGAAAGACAGTTCTAAGCCTTTTTGTCTCTATAAACTCTTAGCTCCTTGGGTTCTGTGTCTGGAAATACTGGTACAAAGCAGGGGTCCAGGACTGGGGGTCCAGGGAAGAGGTGACTCAGGACAGGGGTCCAGCGTAGTGGTTAACAGCCAAGATTCTGGACAGTCAGACTGTCCTGGGCTTAAACCTTGGCCCTGCTACTTCTTGAGGTCATGAGCATTTGACCAAGCCCTCTGTGCTTCTGCCTCCTCATCTGTGAGGTGGATGTGTACCTGGTCCTAGCTTGCTGGGGCCTGTGACTACTAAATGGGATACTTTCATGGAAAATGACTAAGCACAGCACTAAGCACACAGTGACTCTCTTTCTTTCCTTCCTTCTTTCTTTCTTTCTTTTTTCTTTTTTTTGGAGACAGAGTCTCGCTCTGTTGTCCAGTCTGGAGTAGTGCAATGGCGTGATCTCGGCTCACTGCAACCTCCACCTCCTGGATTGAAGCAATTCTCATGCCTCAGCTTCCCTAGAGGCTGGGATTACAGGCACCCGCCACCACACCCAGCTTATTTTTGTATTTTTAGTAGAGATGGGGTTTCACCGTATGGGTCAGGCTAGTCTTGAACTCCTGACCTCAGGTGATCCACCTGCCTTGGCCTCCCAAAGTTCTGGGATTACAGGCGTGAACCACCACGCCCGGCCTCAGTGAGTCTTAGTCAATGTGAACTCATTAAAACCGATTCAGTGAACAAGCCCACCCCATGGTCTGTTCTCCTCTATAGCACTTAGAACCCTGCAGGGGGATTAGCTGGGTGTGGTGTGCAACTGTAGTCCCAGATACTCAGGAGGCTGAGGTAGGAGGATTGCTTGAGCCCAGGAGGTTGAGGCTGCAGTGAGCTATAATTGCACCGCTGCACTCCAGCCTGGGCAACAGAGCAAGATTCTGTCTGTGAAAAAAAAAAAAAAAAAAAAAAAAGAATCCTGTTGGGGCTTCAAGGGGAGGTAATTTCCTAAGAGAGATCTTGGGGGGTCCTGAATCAGATGCAGTTTGAGCACCCCTCCTATCTACCCATCTGGCCAAGCCACAAGGTGAGCAGGGCACTTATGACCCCACCTGCCACAGCTTCATTTCTGGCCTGAATGAGTAACTTTCTTATGCTCAGAGGCTCGATCTGAACCAAACCATGAACCAGCACCAAAGCTGCACTAATCTACTCTATGCCCATGTGCTCTGGACTCAAACCCAAATATTCTCCAGCTGTACTGTGAGCCTAATTAAAGCTCTTGGGAAGTTCCAAAACCAAACATATATTTTCTTTTTTTGAGATGGGGTCTCACTCTATCATCCAGGCTAGAGTGTAGTGGTGCATTCTCAGCTCGCCACAACCTCTTCATCCCACACAATTCTCCTGCCTCAGCCTCCTGAGTAGCTGGGACTACAGGTGCGTGCTACCACACCTGGCTAATTTTTGTATTTTTTTAATAGAGACGCGGTTTCACCATGTTGGCCAGGCTGGTCTTGAACTCCTGGCCTCAAGCAATCCATTTGCTTTGGCCTCCCAAAGTGCTGGGATTACAGGTGTGAGCCACCGCACCCAGCCAAACGGGACCATTTCTTTTGCACTGATACACATGATCCTTAATGAGAACCAGCTGCTGACACCTGTCCCGGAAGTCTCATCAGAAACAGTTCCAGGTGGGGGACTGCTTCAGCAACGTGGGGGCTTACAGCTCAGATTACAGGGCTGAGCTGCAGCACGTGAAATAGTGTTAGGGGCCAACGTGGAAAACCCTACCTCGATTCCAGTCCCCACTGTGAGTTTTTTTATTTTTATTATTTATATTATATTTTATTGTTTAAACTACTATTATTTATTAATTTATTGTTATTATTTATTTTTCGAGACAGAGTTTCGCTCTTGTTGCCCAGGCTGGAGTGCAGTGGCGTGATCTCAGTTCACTGCAGCTTCTGCCTCCCAGGTTCAAGCGATTCTCCTTCCTCAGCCTCCCGAGTAGCTGGGATTACAGGTGCCCGCCACCATGCCCAGCTAATTTTTTTGTATTTTTAGTAGAGATGGGGTTTCAGCATGTTGCCCAGGCTGGTCTTGAACTCCTGACCTCAGGTGATCTACCTTCTTCGGCCTCCCAAAGTGCTGGGATGATGGGCGTGCACCACCGTATCTGGCCTTTTTTTTTTTTTTTTTTTTGAGGAGTCTTGCTCCATTGCCTAGGCTGGAGTGCAGTGGTGTGATCTTGGCTCACTGCAACCTCCGCCTCCTGGGTTCAAGCAATTCTCCTGCCTCAGCCTCTGGAGTAGCTGGGATTACAGGTGTGTGCCACCACGCCTGGATAATTTTTGTATTTTTAGTAGAGACAGGGGTTTCGCCATGTTGGTCAGGCTGGTTTCGAACTCCTGACCTCGTGATCCAGCCATGTCGGCTTCCCAAAGTGCCGGGATTACAGGAGTGAGTCACCGCGTCCGGCCCTGGCCTAACCTTTTGTGAGCACTTACTGCGTGCTAGGCACCTACTAAGCTCTTTGCATGTGTTGGTCCTCATGACCCTCTTACTCATCCAAAAGCTCCATGGCTTAGTCTGTGATCCATTTCACAGGTGAGGAAGCTGAGGCCCAGAAGAACTTGCCCAAGGTCATGGAAGCAATAAAGCTGGATTGGATCCAATTAGTCCCATCCCAGTGCCTAGATGGGGTGGGCTTTTACCTACCTTGGAACGTGTGTGTAAAGCCGCTTTGACACAAGAGGCATAGGCTGGGCGTGGTGGCTCACAGCTGTAATCCCAGCACTTTGGGAGGCCAAGGCGGGTGGATCACGAGGTCAGGAGTTCGAGACCAGCCTAACATAGTGAAACCCCGTTTCTACTAAAAAAAAAATACAAAAATTAGCCGGGCATGGTGGCGCGCGTCTGTAACTCCAGCTACTCAGGAGGCTGAGGCAGGAGAATCGCTTGAACCCAGGAGGCACAGTTTGCAGTGAGCTGAGGTTGAGCCACTGCACTCCAGCCTGGGGGACACAGTGAGACTCAAGACTCTGTCTCAAAAAAAAGAAAAAAGAAACAAGAGGCATGACACAAATGACAAGTGATGTCGTTTTCCTTGTTACAGTTACCAGTAAGACAGGTGCGATGGGGCTGGGTGTGGGTTCTGGCAGGAGGGACCTAAGAACTTTAGGTCCTGGCAGGTGCAGCCCTGGGAGCAGCCACGAGGGGGCATCAGGCTGCACAGGCGGCTCCAGGATGTCGGTCTGGGACCAGGTGAAGGGGTCAGTGAGTGATTCTCGGGCATGGCAGGATGAGCCCTACATAGGGCAGGTGGGCCCAGGAACCCCCTTTCTCAGTCCAAGACTCCCAGGCCCCAGGGCTTGGCCTTGGTGGCACCCGTCTGTTGTGGTGCAGTTTGGCGGTCACAGCCTAGGGACCGGGTCCAGCCCAGCTAGCTCAGCAGTAGGTCAGCACCCTGCCCCTTCCCGCGCTGCTGGGACGCCCCGAGATGCTCAGGTCACCACGCAAAAGCCCTGGGTAATCCGCCGCCAGAAGTTGCGACCGCGGCTGCTGAGGGCCACTTCGGCCGCCTCCTGGAAGACAGCGTGGACATTGTCATGGAGCCGAGCCGAGCACTCGAGGTAGGCCACCGCGCCAACAGACCTCGCCATCTCCTGGCCCTAGAGGGAGAGGTGGATAGGGCTGCTGTGAAGGGGGCAATGGGCAGGCCTCACGTCCTCGCTTCCTTCCCCTGGACAAGAGTGGAAGGTGGGGTCTGCTGAGCACCCACGGCTCCCGTACCCTGGCTTGCCCAAGCGCCCTCATGCACTTTAGCACATTTATTTTTCTTTTCTTCCTTTTCTTTTCTTTTTTTTTTGAGACGGAGTCTTGCTCTGTTGTCCAGGCTGGAGTGCAGTGCAGTGGTGCAATCTCAGCTCACTGCGACTCCGCCAACCAGGTTCAAGTGATTCTCCTGCCTCAGCCTCCAGAGTAGCTAGGACTACAGGCACCCGCCACCACACCTGGCTAATCTTTTGTAATTTTGGTAGAGACAGGGTCTTGCTATTTTGCCTTGGCTGGTCTCGAACTCCTGACATCAAGAGATCCACCTGCTTTGGCCTCCCAAGTGCTGCGATTACAGGGATGAGCCACTACCCCTGGCTTTTTTTTTTTTTTTTTTTTTGAGACGGGGTCTTGCTCTGTTGCCAGGCTGGAGTGCAGTGGTACAATCTTGGCTCACTGTAACCTCGAACTTCTGGACTCAAGGGATCCTCCTGCCTCACCCTCCCAAGTAGCTGGGACCAGAGGAGTGGCCACCAAGCCCAGCTATTTTTTTTTTACTTTTTTGTAGAGATGGGGTCTCCCTATGTTGCCCAGGCTGGTCTCAAACTCCTGGACTCAAATGATTCTCCAGCCTCATCCTCCCAAAGTGCTAGGGTTACAGGCATGAGCCATTGTGCCTGGCCTTCATTGTGTTTCTTTTTCTTTTCTTTTCTTTTTTCTTTCTTTCTTTTCTTTTTTTCTGAGACGGAGTCTTGCTCTGTCGTCCAGGCTGGAGTGCAGTGGTGCAATCTCAGCTGACTGCAACTCCGCCAACCGGGTTCAAGTGATTCTCCTGCCTCAGCCTTCAGAGTAGCTGGGACTACAGGCACCCGCCACCACACCACCTGGCTAATTTTTTGTATTTTTGGTAGAGACAGGGTCTCACTATTTTGCCCTGGCTGGTCTCGAACTCTTGACCTCAAGTGATCCACCCACCTTGGCCTCCCAAGTGCTGGGATTACAGGCGTGAGCCACCGTGCCCAGCCAGCCTTCGTTGTGTTTCTTACCTCCATTCTGGGCTGGGCCTCTTTGCCTCTCAAGGCACCAAGAAATGAACTTCCTATGAACCCGGGCGTGTAGCAGAGAGGATCCCACAGTCTGAATATGTGGGCCTCCTCTCTGGGTCTCAGGTTGGTGGTGGAACTGACTCTGATATGCCTACTTCTTTGTTCTCCCTTCTGCCGGTGGAGGCTCCCAGCATATTCTAGGGACCATTTCCAAGTGCTGGAAGTTCCTGACACCGACAGCCTCTAAGACGACCCCAGCTCTGACCTACACCCTGAGCATGCTGGACGCCTAATGCCACTGAGAGGCATCCAGAGGTCCCCTTACCCAGTCCTCCCCAACTCCCACCTCAGGCTGGGTTTCCTACCCTGTGGTAGGTCACAGGCTCCAACCCGTTTCTTCGGAGCTTGTTCACCAGTGATTTGTCCTTGCGCAGGTCAGTCTTGCAGCCCACGACGATGATGGGCACCTTCTTGCAGAAATGATTCACTTCTGGGTACCACTGCAGGGGGGCAAAGGGGCATGTATGAGCCCTTAAAGTTCTGGCCCTCTCAGTGGGCCACTCTCCTGCTCCCCAGCCCGAGCTCTGATGTTGATAATCAGTACAGCCAGCATCTAGGGAGAAACTATTTGGTACCAGACTCTCATCTAAGAATTTACACACATGGACCCATTAATTCCCCAAGGACCGGCAGCAAGTTGATAACCAATCCCACTGTACAGATGCGGTAACTGAGGCACAGAGAGGCGATGTAACTTGGCCTTGGCTGGAAATGGCAGGATTTGAGCCTGGGGGTGGGGCTCAGAGCCCTGCTCCTGCCCTTCTAGAATCCTGCCTCTCTGCAGGGTAAGGGCCCTCACAGACACCCACTAAACTGAGCAAAACATATAAGGAAATAAGTGATCCTTTAAAAACAAATCCGGAGGCTGGGCGCGGTGGCTCAAGCCTGTAATCCCAGCACTTTGGGAGGCCAAGACAGGCGGATCACGAGGTCAGGAGATCGAGACCATCCTGGCTAACACGGTGAAACCCCGTCTCTACTAAAAAATACAAAAAACTGGCCGGGCGCGGTGGCTCAAGCCTGTAATCCCAGCACTTTGGGAGGCCGAGATGGGTGGATCACGAGGTCAGGAGATCGAGACCATCCTGGTTAACATGGTGAAACCCCGTCTCTACTAAAAAATACAAAAAACTAGCCGGGCGAGGTGGTGGGCATCTGTAGTCCCAGCTACTTGGGAGGCTGAGGCAGGAGAATGGTGTGAACCCGGGAGGCAGAGCTTGCAGCGAGCTGAGATCCGGCCACTGCACTCCAGCCTGGGTGACAGAGCGAGACTCTGTCTCAAAACAAACAAACAAACAACAACAACAAAAAACAAATCCGGGCCAGGTGTGATGGCTCACGCCTGCAATCCCAGAATTTTGGGAGCCTGAGGCGGATGGATCACCTGAAGTCAGGAGTTCGAGACCAGGCTGGCCGACATGGTGAAACTCCGCCTCTAGTAAAAATACAAAATTTAGGTGGGTGTGATGGTGGGTGCCTGTAATCCCAGCTGCTCAGGAGGCTGAGGCAGGAGAATCGTTTGAACCTGGGCGGCAAAGTTTGCAGTGAGCTGAGATTGCACCACTGCATTCCAGCCTGGGCGACAGAGTGAAACTCCATTTCAAAATAAATAAATAAATAAGATAAAAATAAATCAATCAATCCAGGCCGGGCTCGGTGGCTCACGCCTGTAATCCCAGCACTTTGGGAGGCTGAGGTCGGCGGATCACTTGAGGTCAGGAGTTGGAGACCAGCCTGGCCAACAATGGGAAACCCCGTCTCTACTAGAAATAAAAAATTAGCCAGGCATGATGGCGGCGCCTGTGGTCCCAGCTACTCCAGAGGCTGAGGCAGGAGAATCGCTTGAACCGGGGAGGCGGAGGTTGCAGTGAGCTGAGATGGAGCCACTGCACTCCAGCCTGGGTGACAGAGTGAGAATCTGTCTCAAAAATAAATAAATAAATAAATCCGCTTACAAAATGGTTGCCGCTGTCTGCCTCAACTGCTTGCCTGGTGGAGGGAGGGCTGCTCTGTGGAATATGAGGCCACCAGGGCCGAGTTCTTTCAGCCTGGACTACAGCTGGGGAGCCAGGGATCCCGAGGGGGCTTTCCATCTCCAGGAGCACTAAGTCGGCCGGTTCAGGCGTCAAACTTGCCAGATAAAAATTGGCATCAACCGGGCTTGGTGGCTCAAGCCTGTAATTCCAGCTACTCGGGAGGCTGAGGCAGGAGAATCGCTTGAACTCGGGAGGTGGAGGTTGCAGTGAGCCCAGATTGTACCACTGCACTCCAGCCTGGGAGACAGAGTGAGACTCCATCTCAAAACAAACAAACAAATTGGCGTCAAACTACCTCATTCCTGGAAGCAAATGGGGCCTTTGTGGGGTCCCTGGCAGATTCCCCACACCCTACCCATCCACCGAAACTGCCCATGAGGAAGATTTCCTTGGTGGCTCCCACTGAACCCAGCAGTGAATCCTCTGTTTTTTGAGACAGAGTCTAGCTCTGTTGCCCAGGCTGGAGTGCAGTGGTGCAATGTCGGCTCACTGCAACCTCCACCTCCCGGGTTCAAGCAATTCTCCTGCCTCAGCTTCCCAAGTAGCTGGGGTTATAGGCATGTGCCACCACGCCTGGCTAATTTTTGTAGTTTTAGTAGCGATGGGGTTTCACCATGTTGGTCAGGCTGGTCTCAAACTCCTGAGCTCAAATGATCCGCCCTCCTCGGCCTCCCAAAGTGCTGGGATTACAAGGCGTGAGCCACCGCGCCCGGCCTCCACTAGTGGATCCTCAGCCCTGCTCCTACCAATCCCTCGACAGCCCTGACCCTAGGCATCACTCCCTCCTACCTGACCGAGCCTGCAGTTCACCCCAGGACCCCACTCTCCTGGCTCTCCTGGCTCTCCTAGGTCTTATGGGGCCTTGCCCTCCTCCTTCTCTCCCTGGGCTTCAGCCTGTGGTCTTTCCTCCCCTCTAGCCGCTCTCCCTCGCCGGGCAGCCTCCCCGAGGCTTTACTGCACCTGTAGCTTATAAATATGCGGCTGCATTGAGGCTGCCCAGACCGACTGCCTGCTAGGAGGAACTGCAGACGCATGCCTGGCACTGCCTGCCGGACACCTCCACGAGGATGTCCCACTCCGGTCCCCAGCTTGCTCCTTCTCATCCTGGCCAACGGCAACTCCACCTTCCAGCTGCTCTGGTAAAAACTCCTCCCTCCCACTCACATCCAATCCAACAGGAAACTCCAATCATGAGCAAACTCTGCCTTCTAGACCAATTCAGAATGAACCTCCTTCTTGTCCCTCCACCCTGGTCCCAGGCACCACCATCTCTCCTGGTCCCCAATGCCCAAACAGCACCAGAACAAATGTGCTCAATCATTTGTTCTGAATGAATGGGCGGGGCAGCCTGCCAGGGTTCAAATCCCAGTGTTACCACTTTAATAGATGTGTATCTTTGGATGAGTGACTGGATCCGGGAATAATAACACTCCATAAGGCTGGCCGGGGGAGTAAATGAGTAAATACATGCAAGTACCCAGAACAGTGCCTGGCACATGGTCAGTCCTTAAAATTGTCACCATTGTTGTTGCTGTTGCTGCAAATACTGTCGTGGGCTGTACCCTGCAGAAACTCGGAGGCCCTGGCAGCAGTGGGTGAGGGGCTGTGCCATGGCTAAAGGCAGCTGGAGCAGAGGAATTCAAGGGGCCACATCCCTGATATCCATGACTAGCCTTTGAGAACCAGCAGCCACGCAGAGCTGCCGCACTCTGACTTCACGGTTCGTGCACCTCGGGCAGGCACAGGCTGGGGAGATGCAGGAGCCTCTGGGTCATCCAGCAACCTCAGGCAGAGCTGCAGTGGGAGAAGCCACAGTGTTCAGAGTCTGCAGCATAGGGTAGGCAAGGAGCACTGTACTGGGAGTCAGATGCTGCCACCAAATCCCTGTGCCAGAGACCCTGGGCAAGCCACTGCCCCACTCTGGGCTTCAGTTTCCCCATATATACACCAAAGGCTCTGGAATCAGTATCATTTTGGGCCTGCCAAGCTCTGACAGTCAGTTGGATCAAGGGTGGGTGGCAGAGTGGAGTGGCCTGGCTATGGGGGCTATGCCTTCCTGTCCCCCGATACCTACCCGGTTAAAGACGTTGTCAAAGCTGTTCGGGCTGGTGACATCAAAGCAGAGCAGCAGGACACTGGCATCAGGGTAGAACAGGGGCCGCAGGCGGTCATAGTCATCTTGCCCTGGGCAGAGTGGGGGTGGTCACTGCCTTCAGGGCTCCTGGCCCCTGTCAGCACTGCCCCAATGTCAGGAGGTCACTCCATCAGATGGGGAGCTTCTGGGGACAGGGCCTAGTTTTTGCCTCAGAGTCTGGCACAAATTTGGCTCTGAGGTGGCTACTCCATGTGAGTGCCCCCTTGGGGCAGTCCTCACCTCTGCCTGTGGGGTGTCTGGAAGGGATGGCGGGCAAGGCAGAGGCCAGGCCTGGCACCACCTGGAGGAACTGGGGCCAACTGCTCAGAAGCCGGCTTTGCTCTGAGCTTAGGAGTGAGAAATAAGGGGTAGGTGGGAACCTGGCAAAGACATCTTAACCCGTCCAACTAAGGGCTGCTGGGATGCCCTGAGTTTAGCTCAGAGCTCACCCTGGTATAGGCAAGGTCAGGAGGCTGAAGGGCAGAGGCCACAGACAGGCAGATCCTACAGAAGCTAAAAGCAGGGTGGAGCGCTCAGAAGGCCAGGAACAGTCCTGAAAGCAAAGTGCTGGATTCCCGCTTGCCTCCAAGACATAGTGGGCAGCCCTGGGGTGCTGGGGGTGCAGGGGGACATGGCTGCAGAGGCAAAGAGGGCTCAGACTCCTGGGCCCACTCCTGGCCCGCGCCTGTCCCTGGGAGACTGGCTGGCCTCCCTGGTTCAGAAGGAAGCAGAGCGGAATCTGTCCCAGGCATCTGGGGCCCACGGAAGCTCCTCCCACCCTGCCCCTGCCCCAGCACACCCACCTGCTGTGTCCCAGATGTGGAGGTGCACAGGTCTGCCTTTCACTTGCAGGTTGACCATGTACCGCTCAAACACGGTGGGGGTGTAGCTCTGAGGAGAGGCAGGGCAGGGGGAGGCTGTGAGGAGGCTTTGAGAGGCGTTGGGGACTTGGTCTGTCCACAGCGCTGCCCCCGTCTTGGGAGTCAGTGGAGTGTAGTTGTTTGTGAGAAGCCTCCTCCTTGGCCTGCCTGGGGTGCTGGTCCAGAGCCTGTCTGCTTTTGCAAAGTCCTGAACCTCCCGAGCTTTGTTCTCAGTCGTGAAATGGGAATATTGAAAGTCCCTACCAGCCAGGTGCCATGGCTGACCCCTGTAATCCCAGCACTTTGGGAGGCTGAGGTGGGCCTGGAGACCAGGAGTTCGAGACCAGCCTGGCCAACATGGTGAAACCCTGTCTCTACTAAAAATACAAAAATTAGCCAGGCGTAGTGGCACATGCCTGTAATCCCAGCTACTTGGGGGGCTAAGGCAGGGGAATCGCTTGAACCCAGGAGGTGGATGTTGCAGTGAACCGAGATAGCGCCATTGCACTCCAGCCTGGGTGACAGAGTGGGACTCCGTCTCAAAAAAGAAAAAAAAAAAAAGGGTCCCCACCACAGTGCCGCTATAAGGATTCAGTGAGCTATTCCATGCAGAGCCCTTAGCTCAGGGCCTGGCATAAAATAAGCACATCTACATGCCAGCTACTGTTATTTTTATCATTACCCTCTGGATGGGGGCAGGGGACTCCCAGTTTTCCTTTTTTTCACAGACAGGGTCTCCCTGTGTTTCCCAGGCTGGAGTGCAGCAGCTATTCACAGGCACCATAGCTCACTGTAGCCCCAAACTCCTGGCTCACGCAATCCTCCTGCCTCTGCCTCCCAAGAGCTGGGACCACAGGCACATGCTAGTGGGACTCCCATTTCTGAGCCTTCATTCATGTTGTCCCCCCTTCCTAGAACAACATTAACCTACATGTTTATTCATTCCTTGCTTTGTTCATTTGTTCATTCATTTATTCATTCAGCAGCATTAGCACCTTCTCTAGGCCCAATTCCGGACACTGGGAAGCAGGCAACAAAAGACTCAATCCCTGCCCTGGGGAACTCGCAGCTTTTTGGGGTTCCTTCTTTGCCTCTCAACCTCTCACAATCCAAACAAGACCCCTATTAAATGCTACCTTCACCTTTCTGGGATGCCTTTCCTGATCCCTTACCAGAATGCCCCAATGCGCCCTCCACCTTTTTTTTTTTTCTTTTCTTTTTTTGAGACAGAGTCTCACTCTATCGCCCAGGCTGCAGTGCAACGGTGTGATCATGGCTCACTGCAACCTCCGCCTCCCAGGTTCAAGGGATTCTCCTGCCTCCGCCTCCCGAGTAGCTGGGATTACAGACACGCGCCACCATGCCCGGCTAATTTTTGTATTTTTAGTAGAGATGGGGTTTCACCATGTTGGTCAGGCTGGTCTTGAACTCCTGACTTCATGATCCGCCCACCTCGGCCTCCCAAAGTGCTGGGATTACAGGCGTGAGCCACCGCGCCCGGGCTTTTTTTTTTTTTTTTTTTTTTTTTTTTGAGAGAGAGTCCTGCTCTGTCGCCTAGGCTGGAGTACAATGGCGTGATCTCTTGATCACTGCACCCTCTGCCTCCTGGGTTCAAGTGATTCTTCTGCCTCAGCCTCGAGAGTAGCTGGGATTACAAGCACACACCAGCACACCCAGGTAATTTTTGTATTTTTAGTAGAGATAGGGTTTCACAATATTAGCCAGGCTGGTCTTCAACTCCTGGACTCAAGTGATCCACCCCCCTTGGCCTCCCAAAGTGCTGGGATTACAGGTATGAGCCAGCACGCCCTGCCCTTTTTTTTTTTTTAAATAAGGTCTCACTCTGTCACCCAGGCAGTGCAGTGGCGCGATCTTGACTCGCTGCAACCTCTGTCTCCCAGGCTCAAGTAATTTCCTACTTTAGCCTCCTGAGTAGCTGGGATTACAGATGTGGGCCACCGTGCCTGGCTAATTTTTCTTTTTCTTTTTTTCGTAGAGACTGGGTTTTGCCATGTTGCCCAGGCTGGTCTCAAACTCCTGAACTGAAGCAATCCACGCACCTTGACCTCCCAAAGTAATTTTTTGTATTTTTTGTAGAGATGGGGTCTTGCTATGTTGCCCAGGTTGGTCTTGAACTCCTGGACTCACACGACCCACCTGCCTTGGCCTCCCAAAGTGCTGGGATTACGGGTGTGAGCCACCACTCCCAGCCCAGTGTCCCGTGTTTGGGCCTTTCTTCTTTGTCCTGCCTGGGTTTGGGAGGAGGTCGCCCAGGACAGAAGCTCCTTATTCCAGCCTTGCCCAGCCTAAGCTCACTGCCTTTCCATGAAGGTGAGATGAACGGGCAACAGGCCAGGTTTTGTACACAGATGAAAATGCAGGAATGAAGAGGGAGCTTTTGAAAGATGGGTTTGCAAAACTCTGCCACAACCTGTGCCCTCTGCTCCAAGGGGCATGCTGGTCTGCCTGCTGTTAGGTCCCTAACCCTCGACTGCCTGCTCAGGGCTGGTTGGTACGGCCACAGTCAGGGGGGGCCCCTATCCTATTCCCTTCCCATGCCAGGTGGGGCCCCTACCTGCCTGTGACTCAGGAGAATTTCACACCTGCCTGCCTGCCTGCCTGCCGGCCCTCTGAGTCAGGCCCTGACCAGCTGGGAGGGGCAGCACCTGAGCAGTGGGTCAGCACCATCCTCTAGGGAAGCTGCAGGGAGTGGGGTGGGGAGAAAGGCACGTCCCAGAGTGGGCAGCTGAGGAAGATGGAGAAGTCGGGATAGCCTTGAGGTAAGGGCTGGCCCCACCCCAGACCCTAGACATGCTGTCACTCCCTCTACCAAGAGGAACCAACAGGAAGAGACAAGGGCCTCACCTACCTCTCCATCCCCGCTTGCCCGCTCAGAGTGCCCTCCCTCAGGCCCTTTGCCTGGTGGGGGCAGTGTGACCTGGTAGCTAGGAGCACTAGCTTTAGGTTTAGATGTGCCTGGCTTAAGACCCAGCTCCGGCACTCACCAGCTATGTGTCCTTAGGACAGTCTCCTCACTGGTTAAAGGGGAAGAGTGTCACGCCATGATGTGGGAGGGAGGATGGACTGGTAGACGAGGCCCCAGCATAAATGCTCACCACCGGGAAAGCTGGTGGCCAGGAGCAGTGTCCACACGAGCCCCCATCCATCCTTCCAGGTGGTGACACTTTCTCCAGTGATATGGATTGGCTGTGTGTCCCCACACAAATCTCATCTCGAATTGTAATGCCCACGTGTCGAGGGAAGGATCTGGTGGGAGGTGATTGAATCGTGAAGGTGGTTTCCCCCATGCTGTTCTTGTGATAGTGAGGAAGATTTTTCTTTTTTTGACGGAGCCAGGCTGGAGTGCAGCAGTGCGATCTTGCTCACCGCAGCCTCTGCCTCCTGGGTTCAAGTGATTCTTCTGCCTCCACCTCCTGAGTAGCTGAGATTACACGTGTGTCACCACACCTGGCTAATTTTTGTTTTTTTGTTTTTTTTTGAGACGGAGTATCGCTCTTGTTGCCCAGGCTGGAGTATAATAGCACGATCTCTGCTTACCACAACCTCCGCCTCCCACGTTCAAGCGATTCTCCTGCCTCAGCCTCCTGAGTAGGCTGAGATTACATACATGTGCCACCATGCCTGGCTAATTTTGTATTTTTAGTAGAGACAGGGTTTCTCCACGTTGGTCAGGCTGGTCTCGAACTTCCGACCTCAGGTGATCCACCCGCCTTGGGCTCCCAAAGGGCTGGGATCACAGGTGTGAGCCACTGTGCCCAGCCTAATTTTTGTACTTTTAGTAGAGATGGGGTTTTACAATATTGGCCAGGCTGGACTCGAACTCTTGACCTCAAGTGATCTGCCCACCTCGGCCTCCCAAAGAGCAGGGATTACAGATGTGAGCCACCACGCTTGGCCAACAGTGAGGACGTTCTTACGAGACCTGATGGTTCAAAAGTGTGGTGCTTCCCCCTTCTCTCTTTCTCCTGCTGCCACGTAAGAAGTGCCTTGGTTCCACTTCACCTTCCACTATGATTATAGGTTTGCTGAGGCCTCGCCAGCCATGCAGAGCTGTGAGTCAATTAAACCTCTTTTCTTTTCTTTTCTTTTTTTTTTTTTTTTTTGAGACGGAGTCTCGCTCTGTCACCCAGGCTGGAGTGCAGTGGCACGATCTCAGCTCACTGCAACCACCACCTTCCAGGTTCAAGCGATTCTCTCGCCTCAGCCTCCCAGGTAGCTGGGATTATAGGTGCTTGCCACCACGCCCGGCTAATTTTTGTATTTTTAGTAGAGACAGGGTTTCGCCATGTTGGCTAGGCTGGTCTCAAACTCCTGACCTTAGGTGATCCGCTTGCCTCGGCCTCCCAAAGTGCTGGGATTACAGGCGTGAGCCACCGTGCCCCGCCAACCTCTTTTCTTTATAAATTACCCAGTCTCAGGTAGTTCTTTATAGCAGTGTGAAAATGGACTAATACCCCCAGCCCCTCCCCAGCTTCTGACCTTTGTCCTAGAGTAGGGGCCTCTCATTGTGAAGGGCACTGGTGCCCTTGCAGCTGAGCTCCCAGCTTGACCACCCACTAAGTCACCTTCTTAATCTGAGCTGCAGGGCAGCCTGCTGGGAATCTCTTGGGAAACATGTTTCGGTGCTTTGCAAATGCCCATGGTAATGACACCATCACCTACCATTCTCTAAGGATCTGTGTGTGGCTGTGTACTGGCGCCATCTCTGATCCTGGCAAGCTTGGAACATCAGTACAATCTTCACTTTCTGATGATGTTCAGAGAGAGGAAATGACTTGTTCAAGGTGACACACTGAACAGCTGGCTAGTGACAGAGCTAGGTCTTTCTGGCTGCAGAGGCCAGGCTCTGTCCCCAGCCACCTGCCTTTCCTGAGGTTACCAACTCCAGTTCCTGGAGGCAGAAAGGGGCTGGGTTTCCCCTCTGGCTTGTAACTGTCACAGCCCTTTCCCCCACTCGGGAGGTCATCCTAGAGACTCTGTCTGTACCTTCTGTTGTGTTGTTCTTTGACCCCCAGGCAGGGTCACCCTCTGTCCATGGGACCAATGGCACCTAATCTTATCTGTTAGGCCGTCCTCAGCCAGAAAAGAAGGACTGAGCCTGTGCTGGACCAGGACAGAGATGACTCAGGTTCGGGTCTGCCCTCCAGGGGCTCACAGACAGAAAATGGATCATTACCAAGATAGGGGACCTGGGCAAAGGGGAGTGTCGGGGTATCCCTGGTTAGGACACCCATGGGAGTCCAAGTGCGAACAAGGAAGGACTCAGAGGGCTCTACCCAGCAGGGCCGGGTGCTCTCCACCGCCTCCTATCCCCATGCTGGTGTGGGGGCTGCTAGGCTTTGAACCTGTGGGAATGGTTGCAGCCCCAAATGCCAGCCAGGACTGGGCAGAGGCTGGCAGCCCAGCCCGGGGCTCCCCCCTGTTCCAGGAGTTCTCGCCACCTTGCCCTCCCCTGCTGCTCTGAACCCAGGGTTGGGCCACAGCCGGATGAGGGTCACGGAGGTCCCTCCAAATCCTCAGGCTGCTCTCGGCCCTTTGCTGTGTGCAGGAAGTCTGGGAGATGGGACTCCAGCCTTCTGGCTGCTGGCCCCTTGGGCTTCAAGGGTTGCCTGGAGGAAGAGTCTGGTGCTAGAGACAGGGGCAGGAGGAGGCTGGGTCCAGCAGGCAGAGCACTGGGGGCTGTGGAGAAGGCCCTGGTAGGGAGTGGGAAGACCAGGGGTCTAGATCAGTGCTGCCCCCACTGAGCCATGTGCCCCCAGGCAAGCCTCTGGGCTCTGGACTCAGTTTTCCCATCTGCAAAATGAACCCTTTCCAGCTCTTGCACATTGTGGGATATATATATATATATAAATTTTTTTTTTTTTTTGAGCTAGAGTGCAGCGGAATGATCTTGGTTCACTGCAACCTCCGCCTCCTGAATTCAAGCGATTCTCCTGCCTCAGCTTCCCGAGTAGCTGGGATTACAGGCGTGTGCCACTATGCCCGGGTACTTTTTTTGTATTTTTGGTAGACACAGGGTTTCACCATGTTGGCCAGGCTGGTCTTGAACTCCTGACCTCAGGTGATCCACCCGCCTTGGCCTCCCAGAGAGCTGGGATTACAGGCATGAGCCACCACGCCTGGCCCATTGTGGGCTCTTTAAAAGAAGAGGACTCTCCTGCTCCAGGGAACCCAGGGCCCCCAGACAGGGGAAGAGCCTGGACAAATCCGGCCCATTTTCCTGGCGACAAGCATGCCCTCCCCCCATTTCTGGCCTGCCCCAGCATGTCCCTCAAAGCATTCACATCTTATCAACTGCAAGACGCCCATTTCCACGTCAGAACTGCTCTGAAGCTGGGATGGTCTCACCATCAAGGACATTTCAGAGCTGGTGGTGAGGCACCAGCCCTCCAGCCCCCGCCCATCAGGTGCCTTCCCCTGGGCCTGGGCCACCTGTCCCTGTGTAGGGCTCTTCCCTGGGCGCCCTCATTGTGGGGTTCCCATGGGCAGCATCCGGAAACATGTTCCCCCCAACTTAAAAAAACTATGACTGATCAAAGGAGGTGACATGAGCTCCACAAGCCACTAAACAAAAGTGACTCAATGCCACTGCAGCAGAAAGCTATGGCGGGGCCCAATACAGCCCGGGGGATCACAGCCAAGGGTGGGAGACAGGCAGGACATCATCGTGATAAGAACTACAGTGTGATAAGAACCAGGGTAGGCCCGACCCGTCCTGCTTGTGCTCAGATGCCCCAGCACCTGTACAACCCCAGGGGCTTTGAGGATGCTAGGAAGAAAAGAAGGAAGAATGCCAGTTGCAGTGGCTTAAGCTGGTATTTGCAGCACTTTGGGAGGCTGAGGCGGGCAGATCGCTGGAGGCCAGGAGTTCGAGACCAGCCTGACCAATAAGGCAAAACCCCGCCTCTACTAAAAATAAAAAAATTGGCCAGGCGAGGTGGCTCACACCTGTAATCCCAGCACTTTGGGAGGCCAAGGCGGGCGGATCACGAGGTCAAGAGATGGAGACCATTCTGGCCAACATGGTGAAATGCTGTCTCTACTAAAAAAAAATACAAAAATTAGCTGGGCACGGTAGCACGCACCTGTAGTCCCAGCTACTCGGGAGGCTGAGGTGGGAGAATCACTTGAACCTCGGAGGCGGAGGTTGCAGTGAGCCGAGATTGCTCCACTACACTCTAGCCTGGGTGATAGAGTGAGACTCCGTCTCAAAAATAAAATAATAAAAAAAATTAGCCAGGCGTGGTGTTGGGTGCCTATAATCCCAGCTTCTCAGGGGGCTGAGGCAAGAGAATCACTTGAGCCCGAGAGGCAGAGGTTGCAGTGAGCCGAGACTGTGCCAATATCACTCCAGCCTGGGTGACAGTGAGACTCTGTCTCAAAAAAAAAAAAAAAAAAAAAAGAGATGCTGGGAGCAACTCCATGGACTTCCAGGACAACAGAGCTGAGAGGTGGCAGAGCAGGGGCCGCCTCGTGCCTGTGGAGTCTGCCTGGCAGTCAGCATGTCAGGAAGGATTAACAGTGGGCATGCCTACAGCGCCAAGGACGTGCCAGGTACCGCACCGGAGCTGCCTATCAGCCTGCCCTGGGCTCCACCTCACCACCGCCCTACAGTCCCTCTACCCCATGGGGTTGTTGTGAGGAAACTGAGGCTCAGAGAAGCTAAGCAGGTTACAAAAGGGCACGGGGCTCATAAGAGGAGAGCAGAGACGCGGGCCCAGCAGCTGAGGCTACAGCTGGTGTGCTCCGACCCTCCAAGGCAGAGCCCATGGCACATGCATTCCAGCGGCAAGAGCTGGAGGGGAGAATATGTTTCCCAAGAGTGACATGTGCCAACTCTCCGTGAGTACCTCCTGTGCGCAGCCCGGGGCTGAGTGCTTGATGTCTATTAACTCACTGTCACAGTGACCCTGTGCGGTGGGCGCTGTCACTCACCTGTGATGTAGTTAGGGACACAGGCACAGCGGGGTTAGGGGACGCTCGCAAGGGCACACAGCTGTAAGTGGCAAAGCCATAATTTTAACCTAGGCAGTGTGGCTCCCAAGCCCTCAGGCCCTCTTGGCGGAATTGTGCGGCCAAGTGCTGTCTTAGGATCTTGTGTGCACCCAGGTCGCCTCACTCAGTCCTTGTGGCACCCCTCCCCGGTAGGTGCCATTCCTCCCGCTTTACAGATAACATCACTGAGGCCTTCATTCCCAATGGCTGGGGGAGAAGGACTCTGCCCTGGACCCCAGGCCCCGCTGGGAGACCCCTCGGAGGCCAGGGCAGACGCACAGCCTGGGCCGTCCGGCACGGACCTGCACACCCGGGCGCGCGAGCGGAACCGGGCGAGGCGGAGACGCCGGGCACTCACCTCGGGGAAGGCCCCATCGGCGAAGACCATCAGCAACGAGGTCTTCCCGCAGCCGCCGTCGCCCACCAGGACCACCTTGACCGACCGCACGCCTGGTGGCGCCTCCTCGCCCGCGGCCTGGGCCGCCGTCATCCCGGGGCCGGGCGCGGAGAGGGCGGGCGGGCGGGCGGCTGCAGCGCAGGGACCCAGACTGCGCGGGGCAGGCCCGGCGGGGCAGGAATGTGGAAGGGGCGGGGCGGCGGGAGGAAGTGCGAGCTGGGCGCCCCGAGAGCCAGGTGAGAGGCCCGGGCGGCTGGGCTGGGGCCCTTCCTCTCAAGGCCGTCTAGGTCCTTGAAGAAACGCTGCCCGAGCACCTACTGTGAGCGGGCCGCGCTGGGGCCATGGGAGGTCGGAAGGGAGAAGACAAACAGCGGGACCATGACAGTGTGGGCGGGGGTGTGCTCAGCAGCTGGGTCCCAGATCCCAGGCAGGAGCCAGTGACCTTTACTAAATGAGTGAATGAATGGTGCATTTCCCCAGGGGGCTTAGGACGGAGCACAACACAGGCCTTTCATGCCAGGTGGGAAGCGGATGACCCCCTTCACTGGCCCTACCAGGCCTAGCCTGCCTCCCTCCGCCAGCACCAGGAAGTTTTGCTGAAGGTGGGCAGCCACCTGACACCCTGGCTGGCCACGATCTAGGGAAAGAGATGGAACCTTCCCTCTATAAAGTGTGTTTCTTATTATTGCACCATGAGACGTCCTCCTGGTGCCCAAGGGCCTGGGGACCCTGAACTGTTCAAGATAAAATCCAGGCCCTGCCTTGAGAAGCCCACAGCCTAGAAGAGTAGACAGGCAGGACATCAGTGTGATCAGAACTACAAATGGGTAGGGACAGGCAGCGGGACAGGAGTAGGGGAAAGGAGCTCCTCGCCCAGGTTGAGTGAGTCAGGAAGCCCTTCAGAGTCTTGAGGAAAAAGTGAGACACAGTCAGATGGGGGAGGGAGAAGGTGTTCCACAGGAGAGAGCGGTAGGGGTGAGGTTGTGGAGGCCGGAGCGGAATGCTGCCCCCCCCGCCCCCGCAGAAGGTGAGTCTCCCTTGCACAGTGGTGCAGCAAGAGGAGCTGGTGCTTGCACAGTGGAGCACTTTGGATGCCAGCAGTAAATCCAGCATTGAACTGGGAACTCATTGTCACCTGATCCCTCCACTTCTCCTAATGGCCAGAGTTGAAATCTTTTAAAAATGGGCACAAGGGTCTTCCCAGATCTTGAACTGAGTGTTTATATTGAAACTTAAAAGAACAGGGGCCAGACATCATTAGGTTACCCCCAATTTATGCTGGTCATGACATCACCCCTTATGGAGTTCCAAGTCAGTCAGGTGAAAATGCACCTTCAACCTCCTTTAAACTCACTGTGGTCTAAAGAGGCAACCAGGGCAAGAGTCACTACGTGGAGAGGCAGAGTCCAGCTCCTTGACTCCTCTGCCTGGCTCCGGGCTGTGGTCCACAGGCTGGATGGAGCCCCACTTGGAGGCTCCATCCTGTCCTCCCCAGGACAGCTCTGCCTTCCAGGTGCCCCTTCCTCCCCGAAACTGCCATAGGGCTGGGCAGTGACTTGACACCGGGCTGGGCAGGTAGCTCCTGAACAGAGCTCCCCGCCCCAAGGAGTGGTGAGAGGGGCCCCACCCCCTCGGATCAGCTGTCAGCGTCATCCTCCCCACTGCTGCTGTCATCAGGCCTTGGGTGGCAAGGCTGGAAGGCAGGTGGGGCCAGACTGGGGGTGGAGGGAGCCGAGAGTCAGGCAGAGGCGTTTGGCCTTGGTTGCTATAGGGATAATCTCTTTAATGACACACTTGATGTCTGTCATGCTGTACAGTTTCACTGAACATTTCCTAATAATAACAGCACCCATTAATGGATTGCAAGCCATGTGTAGGCACTGTTCCCTAGGAGGTAGGGACTCTTAGCTCCATTTCACAGATGAGGAGCCTGAGACCCAGAGAGGCTAAGTTGTTGACTAAGATCCACAACTAGTAAGAGGCTGAACTAGAATTTGGATCTAGGTGTGACCCCAAAGCCAGGCTGTCTCCCTCCATCACACCTCATCTGTGCAATTGCAATTTTGTTCAGCTCTCAGACCATGACGTCAACCAAGCAGATGACCTGCTTCCCCTCATTTTACAGATTTGGGAACTGAACCTCCGAGAGAGGCAGAGGGGTGTCTTAGGCCAGCAGGACACAGCCAGGATTCGATCTGCGCCAGCCTCACCGCCCCCGAGCCCCCAACCCCCCACTATGCTTATGCTCTTGCAAGAGGGAGCTTAGTCACCAGGCCACAGAAATTGGCTCTAGTCGGCAGGGAATGTCCCTGAATCTCAGACATTGCTGGACCTGGGACTGTACTGTTTTCCTGGAATGTATTTTTAGAGTGGTGGACCAGGTCACACAGTCTGCCTGGCCAGGGTACTGTTTACTGTTTTAGTGTTTACTGAGGCTTCTCAGGACTTGCAACCTGTGGGTGACTTAGGCCCTTTTAGGCCCCACCAACCCCAGGCCCAGATCTGTGGGGAGCCCAGCACCGTGGCCTGCTGCCCTGAACCCTACAAGGGCAGGAGTCAAGGCTCACTTGTACCCCCTAGAGGAGTGCCTCTCTCGGGCTGGCACCCAGCTGTGGCTCAGGATGGTATGTCCAGTTGATCGTCTGGCCAGACAAACCGAAAGGACAAGGAGGAGAAGAGCAGAGTGAGGAAGAGAGGAAGGAAAGAAGGAAGGATGGACGGAAGAGGGGCTGACTTACAAGAAGAAACAAAGTGAAGAAATGAATAAAAGAACAAATGCTTGCATTGATGACGAATACCACATGTGACATGAATGGGGAATGTGTGGACAGGTGACCACTCTCCAGCCTCTGCCTACTCCAAGGCCCCCTGGCCTCACCCCTGTCCCCATTTTCTCACAGCCCACCCCCATCCTAAGGCCAAATCCTGTGCGGTCCTGATCACGTCTCCACTGCCCTCATGTGGTTGCTCAGCTCCCTGCGCAGTCATCACCAGGGGCTGCCTCCCTGCTTGGGGTTCTGGACTTGGGTGTGTGGGATGTTTGTGGACGGCTGAGTGAAGGGGAGAGATACAGTCTTTCCCCTTGGAGTGGCTCGGCAGGGTGCATGGGGCCCTGGTGTGTGGCTCCCGAAGTCCTTAGTTCTGCATGCATCCCCTGTCCTCTGCTCTCTTCCTTATGGTTTTTTTTTTCCCATATGGAGTCTTGCCCAGGATGGAGTGCAGTGATGCGATCTCAGCTCACTGCAACCTCCGCCTCCCAGGTTCAAGCAATTCTCCTGTCTTAGCCTCCCGAGTAGCTGGGATTAGAGGCACCTGCCACCACGCCCAGTTAATTTTTGTATTTTTAGTAGAGATGGGGTTTCACCATGTTGGCCAGGCTGGTCTCAAACTCCTGAACTCAGGTGATCCGCTCGCCTTGGCCTCCCAAAGTGCTGGGATTATAGGTGTGAGCCACTGCGCCCAGCCTTGGCCCACTTTCTTTCATCTGAAATACCGGATCCCAAGAGCCCTTGCCCTCAGCCTGAACTCCTCCACCCAAAGCCTTGACCTCACATTTACTGTGCACCTACCTGTGCCGGACATTTGGCAAGTGTCATTTCATGCCATCCTATGAAGTATGTTCAATTCTTATCCTCCTTTGACAAGTGAGGAAACTGAGGCCCAAAGAGGTCGGATAATTTGCCCAAGGTCCCACAGATGGTAAGCAGAGGAGCTGGGATTTGGGCCCAGGCCCTTGGGCTCCAGAGTCCATACACACAGAATCTCCAAAGGTCAGAGGTACAGGGCTCTTTAGAGGCCATCTTATCCAACACCCCCATTCTTCAAATGGGGAAACTGAGGCCTGAGAAGGGAAGGAACTTACACAGCAAGTGAGCAACAGACTCAGCTCTACGCCAGGTGGAACCCAGAGGGCCTGTGCTCCCAGGTTTCCTTTTGTCTAGCCTGCCCAGACAGCTCCAGCCTGGCTGCCATCTAATTGGGGCCCCAGGCCACGGGGACGTGCTCTCCTGCCCCGGCTTCCTCTCCCTGCCAATTCATTATTGATCTTTCAGGGTGGGACTCGAGGGCTGATAATAGGGTGGGCGTGGTGGAGAGAGAGGAAGTCTGGTGGCCCCATCTTGGTGCTTATTTAGCTTTTTGATTGGTCCCTTTGGGGGTCTGCAGGCACAGACAGATGGGAGAGAGGAAGGGAAGTTTGGAGTTTGCTGCTGCTGACCGTGGAGCTGCTGCTGACCGTGATGCAGTGACTTGCCCCGCTTCTCCCACATGCAGGCCTGGCCCAGGCAATGCTGCTGGGCAGGTCAGAGACCTCCACACCTGTCCTCTTCGATGGGGCTCCCAGACAGAGGGGGCCTGGGACCCTGGAGGCATGTCCACAGGCCCAGGGCTGGGGCTGGAAGAGGGGAGATGAAGGGGCAGGAGGGATGTGACCCTGGAGGTGGGGTGGCCCGAGAAAGGAGGGAAACAGGTTGGGAAGATTACAAGAGAGAAGAAGAAGGCAAGACAGCTTCTCAGAGCCTGGGTTGTCCTGGCTTCTCTCCAGGAAGGCACCTTGGTTTGAGTCCTGCTGAATGAACCCAAACCTAAAGGCAGCTCAGAGGCCTCCTGCCTGCCCCTCCTACCACTCACTAGTGAGGATAACATTCACTGATGTCCCTCCGTGTCACCTCCAAAGCTTCTTAGAGTGACCCCTCCCTCCTTTGGACCTGCTCCTGCTCAAGACTCCACCATGGCTCCCCACTGCCAGCAGGACAAGGAGCTTCTCCCTGAGCTTGGACGCACAGCCTCCACAACCCAACCCCACCTGGGCTCTCAAGCCTCAGCCCAGCTGTGTCTCCCCAGACACCGTGACACCTTTGCTCAGGCAGTTTGAGACCCCCTCCCTCCTCCATGTGTACAGTCCCCCTGCTGCAAGGCCAGCTCTCATGCTTCTACCTCCTCCAGGAAGCCCTCCTTGGTCTCTGACCCCTTACAGGCTCCTGCCACAGCCCATCTCATTGGTTGCCTCAGAAGCTCTTCAGAGTCAGTCCCTGCGGTAGACAGGCCTCCCGGCAGCTGCTGGGAGTTCTCCATCAGCTCATCCCTATCCATGCTGAATGTCCCACGCTTGTGATCTTCCAGGGGTGAGGAGGGGAAGCCAGCAGCCGGGGACCCGGGGGTTTCTCTTATGCCCTCAGCACTACCTTCGAGGAGCTGGGGAAGGGGGCGCTGTTGCTGAGTGATTCAGAGCACTGGCTCTGTAACTAGACAGGCTGAGCTTGAGTCCCAGCTCTGCGGCTGTGTGGTCTTGGGCTAGTTACCTAACTTCTCTGAACTCTTTTCCACATCTGCAAAAAAGGGGATGGCAGCAGCATCTACTTTGAAGTGTTGCAGGCTGAACACCAGCATTTGTTGAATGTGGAAGGCCCTTCTCCCCTTCAGGCCTCCCCCTTGGCTCCCTTCTTCCCACCCCCCTCACTTTGTTCTGGCCAAATGGATACACTGGCCAAGTTTTTGCTCCCTCGTGCCCTTTTGAATATGCGGTTCCCTGCCAGGAATGCTTCTCCTGCCATGTCTACCTGATCTCCTCCTTCTGGCCCTAAAGCCTCAGCTGGGTGTCACCACCAGGAAGCCTTCCTTAATACTCCCTGTCATCCTACTCTCTCCTGCCAGAGCTGGCTCAGTGGCTCCTCTGAGCTTCCCAAGGAGTCTGATGCATTGGTCCTTCCTTGTTTTTTTGTGTTTTTTTTTTAAGATCTTTTTTTTTTGAGTCTTGCTCTGTTGCCCAGGCTGGAGTGCAGTGGCGCGATTTCAGCTCACTGCAGCCCCCGCCTCCCAGGTTCAAGCGATTCTTCTGCCTCAGCCTCCCGAGTAGCTGAGATTACAGGCACGTGCCACCACACCTGGCTAATTTTTGTATTTTTAGTAGAGATGGGGTTTCGCCATGTTGGCCAGGCTGGTCTCGAACTCCTGACCTCAAGTGATCCACCCACCTTAGCCTCCTAAAGTGCTGGAATTACAGGTGTGAGCCACCATGCCCAGCCTGCATTGGTCCCTGTAATGGTCTCCCCAGCAGACACGGGCCTCACTCCCCTCTGGGCACCCGGTAGCAGGAAGGAGGGTGCACAGTAACCCATAGGAGGCCTGAGTCCCTGATTCCTAGAGAAGAGACAAAGGTGATTCAGGGCCGAGCAGGGCTCCCTGGAAGCCCCCTCTTCCCGCCCCAGCTTTATTTTGGTTCTAGAATCATTCCAGTCGGCATACCCCGTCCCCACTACGGCCATCCTGGGCACACAGTTAACATGTCATGCAGTCAGGGGGAGGGAGAGTAGGGAGAGGGCAGGGGGGTCAGTGGCCTGCACTGCACAGCCACTGGGTCAGAGAGAGTTGGGGTCTCCCAGGCTACAAAGCCTTATCCAGCCTTGTGTTTCCTGGCCCTGGGCTGACCTCCTGCTGTGGCCACAGGGTAGACAGCCTGGCCTTGGGCCTGGGCCATGGCTGTGACAGGTGGGGAGAGCCACCATCCTGCCTCCAGTCCCCTGGGCCCCTGTTCCAGCCCCTCCTCCCCCCATATCACTGGGGATAACTGGTTGGCCTGGGTCGCCATAGCTCACCAGTTATGGACCAAGGAACAGGGGCAGCCAGCCTTAAGGTCCATGCTGTCACCTGTGGGTGGCCCCACCGAGCAGATGATACCCCACCTGCTGGCCTGGGTGAGCTCAGACCTTCCCAGCACTCAGCCATGAAGGCAAGAAGCGGCTTCCTAGGACTGTGGGATGCCAGGCTGGGGACGATAAGCTCTGCCTGCTCTCCTCCTACTGGAGCTGGGGGGTAACCAAAGACTGATGCCAGTAGAGATGCAACAGCCCAGCCCCTCTGCTTCTGGGTGGGAGCCCCAGGGTGCCTCTCACAGCCCAGGCCCCTGCCCCCACAGCAGTCAGGCCAAGGCGATGATCTTGAAGCCACACTTGCTTGTCTTCCTCCCTCCAGCCTCAGCTCCCTTTCTGGCTCTGGTAAGTTTCTCTCGGAGCACTCACCCGCAAGAAGCTACTTGGCCAAGAATCCCCCTCTAAGATTTCGCTTCTCGGGAACTAGAAGCTAGGAGACCCAGTGTCAGGGGCACCCCCCGCCCTGTGATTGAGAGCCATCTCCTTCCTAGCCTGGCATTCAGTCTTATCCTGGCGTCCCTCAAACCGCCCTTCCACCCTGGCCTCTCCTGGCTTCCCATCAGGCCTCAGCCACCTGGGCTGTCCTTCCGCTGCCACCCCTCCAAGGTCCAGCCTGAGAGCCTCCTTGTCCACCACATCTTCCCAGGCACCTGCAGCCCACCAAGACCTCTGCAGCCAGTATTCTCTCTGCCCCACCCCTGCCACCTCCCAGCTGAGACCTGCCTGAGGCGTCTTTCTCCCAGTGGGCCTGGAAGGGCATCAAATGCTTGCAGAGCCTGGGCCTGGTTTGTGCAGGACTGAGCACAACAACCTGTGTCTGGGCCTCTTTGGACCTCTGGTTCTTGCCATGTTTGAGGTCTGGGGAGTAGATTTCACAGAGAATAACTCTGGAGCCAGTGTTCCACGTGGCCAGCAGTCTTCCGCCTCGGCCTGGTCTCTTGGTCTCTTGGTCTCTTGGTCTCTTCTCCGGCCCTGAGAGAGGCCCTTCCTTGTATCCACTGCAGTGGGCTGAGGGCTGCATTTGTGATGGGAAGTTCACATCCTGCCATAGCTCAGGCTGGGCCCGCTGCCTGCAACATGCTCAGTTCTTTCCCTGCCCCTCCAAGTGCAGCTCCTACCTTGTCGAAGAGATACTTCCTGTTTCCCCAGCCCTCAGAGCCCCTGAGTCCACACAGCTGGGCTGCCATCAGCACTGAGCAGATCCTCAGGGGCAGGGGAGCTTGTCTTCCTGATGTCCTAAGGGCCAGGTTTGTTCGTGTTACTCCTGCTGGTGCCTAGCACAGTGCCTGGCCCCCAAGATTCGCTGGGTTCCAGAACATAGCCCGGCTTGGCAGCTGGCCTCGGCCTCCCAGGAGGAGCAGGGTTAAGGGAGCTTGAGATGGAGCACAGCTGTCCAGTGCCCAGCACCCTCCCTCTGTCCTGGCCCAGCCACAGCTGGTCCTCAGCAGGAGAAGACCCTGGGGCCCTGGACACAAAGCCACGCCCACTCCTCTGCTGCAATCTGGACAGAGAGACCAGGATGGCTCATGAGGACTCTACCAGGGGACCCCAGTGTTCACGGCTCCAGCTGGGCTATGGAGAGGGCATCAGACAGAGCCGAGTGGGTACCAGGCTCCAGCAGCTCCATTGCCCACCTGGCCCGCCCTGGTTGCTAGTTTCGCCGGACAGCGTGCCACATGGACACAGGCCTGCGCAGCGTGGCCAACATCTGGTTCCAATGTGTGGTTCCCATGCCACTGGCTGACGGCCCAATGATGACATGGCCCACGTTGTCCCCACGGCCGTCGCTGCTGCTCTCAGCCACCGTCACGCGGAGAGACAGGTCCTGAGGAGGAGGCAACATGGGTGCTGAGGACCAGGAGCAGTCAGAGGTACTTCTTGGCTCCTGGGTTCAAGGCTACAAATGTGAGGCCCCAGTGGGGGCTCCCTGAATCCTCACTTCTGATCTAAGAGGTGAGGAGACTTGCCCCAGGTCACTCAGCAAATAAATGGCAGGCAAGAGTTTGAACTAGGCCCTCCGGCTTCTCTTGCTGCCTCCTTCCACAGCGGCAGCACCTGCCTGCCAGGGTTCAAATGCTGGCCTCCCCACCTCCCCCTCCTCCTTTTTTTTTTTTTTTTTGAGAGTCTCACTCTGTTGCTCAGGCTGGAGTACAGGGGCATGATCTTGGCTCACTGCAACCTCTGCCTCCTAGGTTCAACCGATTCTCCTGCCTCAGCCTCCCAAGTAGCTGGGATTACAGGCGCCTGCCACCATGCCTGGCTAATTTTTGTATTTTCAGTAGAGACGGGGGTTTCACCATGTTGGCCAGGCTGGTCTTGAACTCCTGACCTCAGGTGATCCACCCACCTCAGCCTTCCAAAGTGCTGGGATTACAGGCGTGAGCCACCATGCCTGGCCTCCACTTCCTTGCTGTGTGACCTTGGGCAGTGACTTGGGCTCTTGCTACCTCAGCCTCTCCATCTGTGAAATGGTGATGATAATATTTGTTCTGGTCGGGCGCGGTGGCTCACATCTGTAATCCTACCACTTTGGGAGCCCAAGGCAGGCCGATCACCTGAAGTCGGGAGTTCGAGGCCAGCCTGGCCAACGTGGTAAAACCCTGTGTCTACCAAAAATACAAAAATTAGCCGGGCATCATGGTGCTTGCCTGTAATCCCAGCTACTCGGGAGGCTGAGGCAGGAGAATCACTTGAAACTGGGAGGTGGAGGTTGCAGTGAGCCGAGATCATGCCACTGCACTCCAGCCTGGGTGACAGAGCAAGACTCTGTCTCAAAGAAAAAAAAAAAAAAAAAAAAAAAACTGGGGCCGGGTGCAGTGGCTCACACCTGTGATCCCAGCACTTTGGGAGGCCAAAGTGGGCAGATTGCCTAAGGTCGGGAGTTCAAGACCAGCCTGGCCAGCATGGTGAAACCCCAACTCTACTAAAAATACAAAAATTAGCCGGCTATGGTGGCAGGTGCCTGTAATCCCAGCTACTCGGGAAGCTGAGGCAGGAAAATCGCTTGAACCCAGGAGGCGGAGGTTGCAGTGAGCTGAGATCACACCATTGCACTCCAGCTTGGGCAACAGAGCGAGACTCCGTCTCAAAAAAAAAAAAAAAAAAAAAAAAAACAACTGGTAAACTGGTTTCTATCTCATAGGGCTGTTTCAGAAACAAAATGAGTGAACTGTGTAGAACGGCACCTGCGAACAGTCAGAAGATGCTATTACTAATATCACCACATTGCACTCACAACCGAGGACAGGAGAGACCGTGCTTGAGATGAGAGTGGGAGCTGAAACTCAAACCCAGCCCGATCTCTCTGCTCCCCCTCTTCCCACATGGTCCCAAGAAGTCTCTCGCTTTTTTTTTTTGTTTTTTTTGTTTGGGACGGGGGTTTCGCTCTCCCGCCCGGGCTGGAGTGCAGTGGCCGGATCTCAGCTCACTGCAAGCTCTGCCTCCCGGGTTCACGCCATTCTCCTGCCTCAGCCTCCCGAGTAGCTGGGACTACAGGTGCCCGCCACCTCGCCCGGCTAGTTTTTTGTATTTTTTAGTAGAGACGGGGTTTCACCGTGTTAGCCAGGATGGTCTCAATCTCCTGACCTCGTGATCCACCCGTCTCAGCCTCCCAAAGTGCTGGGATTACAGGCTTGAGCCACCGCGCCCGGCCAAGTCTCTCACTTTTAGAAGCTGTGGAGAAGTGGCACTATGACACCCAGGGGGAGGCGGAGGACACATGGGCAGCCTGTCCCACGAGGGTGGCAGGCGAAGGCTATGACACCCAGGATGGGCCAGAGATGCTGGGATGTGCCTGGGTTAGGAACACTCAGAGCGAGGCAGAGTTCTGGGCCTTTACATACAGGCGGGGTCCCTGGGTTGGGGGAGATTAGGCGGGTTCTGTATAGCCCTGGGGCTATGGAGGCAGGTTTTGGCTCAAGGCACAAAGGACTTTCTCGTCAGGAGTGCGGAGGAGGGTTAGAGATAGTGACAGAAGGTGGTGTGAGCCCCATCCTCCGAGGCATGCAAGCAGGGCCCGAGCCCTATCCTCTGCAGTGCTCCCACCCATCGTCTGTGATGTCCCTGCTGGGAGAGGTCTCCCTGGAGCATGTCACCTTTTGAAGACCACGGGAACTTTAGAAGTTCAGCAGGACCCTGAAATACAGCCTGGGAGATTCAGAGCAGGAACTGTGGGTGCCTGGCTCACCCCGGCTCCTCTCTAGCCCTCTGCAGTTCCTCCACCGGGAATGGTCCTCCCTCAGAGCTGGGTATCCCCTCCTGCAGGAAGGCCCCTCACCTGACTGTGGGAGTCTAGGACACTCTTAGTGGATTAGGGACTCTCCTGCCTGTCCCTTGTGAGCACCAAGAAAGCCGTGCCTGTGTCCCCAGCACCCACCCTAGGGCTGGCCCCGGTGGCACTCAATAACTGCTAGAAAGTGATGGCTGGAGGCAAACTGCTACCCCTGCAGGGGCCCTGAGAAGTGAAGGTGGAGAGATGTGGCAGCCCCAGAGCCCTGGGGTGACCTGGCCCCTTCCCGTCCCCCAGCCCCCCTCACCTGGAGCACAATGGCTGGCACCGAGAAGATCATGGCTTCGTTGAACACCGGGTTGGGGTCATCCCTCTTCACGGCTGTCTTCTTTTTGCTCATCTTCCTCCCATCCTGCAGCAGGTATACCTTGACGAAGGGGTCTGTGGGCAGGTGGAGCAGTGAGGGCCAGTGTCACATTCACTCACCACAGCCCTGCCCAGTCTGGCTCCACCCACCGACTCCAAACTCCTCAATGCTTTGCTGTTGCCGTGACCTCCTGCAGCCCCACCCTTGGTCCTTTATTTTTTTTCCCATTTCACAGATGAGAAAACTGAGGCTCACACAGCATGTCAGGTGAGGGCTGGGCTTTGTGCTCAGGCAGCTGCCTCACAGCCCACGCGCTCCCCTCCTAGGATGCTGGGGGGAACTCAGCAGCCCTACCGCGTTCCTTCTATAAATGGCCCGAGTGCAGACGTCAGCCCTGAGTCACCGGGCGCCCGCACAGCAGAGCCTGACTCAACCGTGTGCGGCTCTGAAATAACAAGTTGCCGTCTGCCCATCACCTATTGCCCACGGAGTGTCCTTGCTGCACCTGCCTGGAGCCGGCCCCTCCCCCGCTCCCCCCGCACCGTCCCAAGACTTGCAACTCCCAATAGATCAGGCTCCCCCAGCCCCCTTTCTTCAGTTCTCTAGAATACAGCTGCCTCCATGGTCACGTTTTGAGAGGGACTGGGGGCTCCTGCAGACCTAAGGCATGAGGTCCTGCCTGGCACCCACCTCAACCCCATGGCCTTGGTCCCTTTTTGGAGTCTGGGGTACTGCCCTGTCTCTGGGAATGGAGCCTCCACCATGAATTCCAGTTCCAGGAAACAGATGCCCACCTTGGTTCCCTGCCCAGTGTCCCCAACCCTGAGTGCTGCCTCCTGCCCTCAGACCCCCCATCACTCTGACCCCCTTCACTCTGCCCTCACAGGGGCCCCTGCCACCCTCCAGGGATCTCATGTTTCCCCCGTTGGATTAATTGTTCCCATGCCACCCCCTACCCATCTGCACGACTTCTGGGCTCAGCAAAGCTGAGGGGAACCTTGGCACTGTGTCCCACACTTGCTGATGCCTCCAGGTGGCCACAGCACAGCAGCTGGGCCACAGCTTCCACTGAGCCACATGGGGGAGCTGGGCTGCCTGCTGGGCCTTACCTGCTGTGGTCTTGTCGTTGGTCCAGATGAGGTTCTTGGCCTTAACCACGACCACAGTGAGGCGCTCGGCTGTGGGGAGGTAGCTGAGGGAGAGCAGGATCTCCCCCACAGCATCGGCAGCCTGGGGGACAGATGGGTGGCTCAGAGGGCTTCTCTCCACCCGACTTGAGGGGACCAGGGAGGGCCTTGATTGCCAGGGAAAGGCTGAGGCCTCCTTCTCCATAGAGAAGTGGCTGCACCGGGGGCCCCTCACCACAGGGCTCCAGGCTGGCAGGGACAGCCACCCAACCCCCGCCACTGCATGGAGCATGTCCCACCCCTCCCTTCCACCGGGTGTGGGCCCTGCCTGGGACCAAAGGCCAGAGGCGGCCTGTCAAACGTAGCTATCAAATGTAGTTTTGTTCTGTCATTGCAGGCCAAGGAAAACGCGCTGCGGTAGTAATACACAGCGAGATCCAAGTGGAATGGAATTCGATTCTTTGCTTAAACAGTAATGATGTTCTGTGAACATTCCTACAATTACAAAACTACAGTGCAGCTTGGCCTCTGTCTGAAATCATCCCCTCTAAGGCCAGAGGAATGTTTCTCTAGCAGAAGCGCAGTAGGGGTAGAGCCTCTGAAGCTTTGGTGGCAAAGCAGCAGAAGAGCTGTAAACAGTGGTTGGGATGTTTCTGAAATTTGCCTGCAGTAAGCGGTTTCCTCAGACGTGGCTCTGGTCTTCTTCTCTGCTCTCCTAATGATGTTGGGGTTTGGGCCATTGCAGAGGATGATGGAGTCCCTTCCTGGAAGTGTATGCGTGTGCGCGCTCTTCCGAGGTGGACGAGTAGGCCGGGGCAGGTCACTTACCTTGTTCTGGTCCTGTAAATAGAGCCAGCCGCTGAAGGCCTGCAGCGGGAGGTCAAGCACAGAAAGCTTCAGCTCCACCACCCCCGTGCTGACGTTGCGCTCATCCTCATCGATGCCAAATACAGAAAACCGCAGGCTCTTCTCCTCCAGGGCTGTGGGATCCAGGGGGATGGAGAACTTCTCATCAAAGAAGATGGAGTAGGCATTCCTCTGGATCTGCAGGAGAAAGGGCCATGGAGGGCGCTAGGGGCCTGAGAGGCCGCAGCAGGGAGACAGCACTGGACAGGGAGTCCAGAGGCCCAGGCTAGAGTCCTCGCTCTGTTGTCATGACACCTTCAATGCCAATCTTTCCTTTGGTGGCTCAGCCTTGAAGGTTTAAAAGCCTCCTGTCTTCTCCTCAGTGGTGGCCAATCTAGCGGCCTGGCGTTTGAAGCTCCCACAATCTGATCCCAACTAATTTCTGTCCTCAGTGCCCGTGGCACCCCAGAACCGTCCAGATGCCCTGGAGGAGATGGTCTCCATCTTTCTTGCATCTACTCAAGTCTAGCCCTAGGCCAGGCAAGCAGTGGAGTGGGACAGTTGTCTGTGGAGTCACGAGCCACTGATATCCCAGGTTCCTGAAGAGCCTGGCCCAGGACTGTTTGAACACCGTAGGCTGGATGGGTGGATGGAAGGGAGGACTAGGCAAGGTTGGGCCAACTCGGTTTCCAAGCCCAGTCCTGCCTGGTGGGCGCCACTGGCCTCCTCCCAGGAAGTCGTGGGCGGGCCCCCGGGAAGGTGCATTGCGGGCACTTTCTCTGGGGAATTGGGGGGGATGCTTTAGTCACTGCCTGGCGATATTTAAAGAAAGGCGTTCTCATCCTTGGACCCTGCCTGAGGCTGAGGGGCTGCCTAGCCTGGGGGTAGCAGCCCCTGTGGGATTGCCCAGGCTGTTATGCTGGGAAGCTTGCCTTCCCCAGAATAAATCCCCCAGGGCCACCAGCCACCATGACCACACTCTTCTGTCACTGCCTGGGCACGGAAAGGCTCTTCTCACAGTGCTCACGTTCCCTACACAACCCCTTGCTTTTGAAGGGCTCCTGGCCTCCAAGGGATAAAGCCCACCTGACCTCCTGACCTCGGCATTCAGGCTGGTCATGATCTGGCTCCACCTGTCCCTCCTTCGGCTAAATTAGCCTCTCAGCTGTCTCCTGCTCATGAGGGCCTGGGCTCCCCAACCAGCCATTCTCCGAGCGTGTGCTTTGTGCGCACATGGGTGGAGGAGGATGGAACCCTGGGTTCGAGTCCCGGACCTCCTGCTTCCTTACTGGGGTTGTCTTGGGCAAAGCACTTTCCCAAGCCTCAGTTTCCTCCTCTGTAAGATGCCCTAACAATCCGTCCTGTTGGCCTCGGGGGCTAATGAGAGAATCATGGCTGTGCTAGGCTCTGTGAACCAGGTTCTCAGCACACATCAGGCTGTGGTGGCTGCTGTCTGCCAATGACCCTTCTCCAGGAATGTGTCCTGAACCACCCAGAGTCCTCTAGGCAGCCCAGACCACAGGCAACATGGCTGGGCACGACAGGAGCTCTGCACGGTTCTGAGAGCCAACCTATGGGGCACTGACCTGGGCTGGGCTAAGAACTCCACATACGTTAACCCATCTCTTTCTCAATAACCATGATGCCCATTTGACAGATGGGGAAATTGAGTCATGGGGTGCTAAACTGACTTATCCAAGGTCATACTGCTAGGAAGAGGTGGAACCAGGATTTGAACCCAGGCAATCAGGCTCCAGGGTCCTGCTCCTAATTGCCTACTATACTGACTCTCAGAAGCTGGGCCACCCCAACGTGTTGCCTAAACATGCCCTCCTTGCACTCTGGTCATAGGCCATCCCCATCCTTCAGCCCAGATGTGGCTCTGTTGGCTTGGCTCTGTGAGGTACAGGGATGTGTGGAGGGTAGCCTAAGGGACTGGGTGCCTTCCCTGCCCCTCACGCTTTATTCTTCACCCTTCCCCACTCTGCTCTGGCCCTGAGAGTTGACCTCCATGGGCTGTGTCAACAGATTCCCTTGGCCTTTGGCTTCTGGTCAGGTCAACCAGTGGAGGTCACCAGAAGGAAACTGGAGGGGGAGGGAGGTCCTTCTCTGCAGTATTACTGTGGGACGACCATGTCCCTTGGCCAAAGGGCGCAGCTCCCACCAAGGTAGCCCTTTCCACAAAAGGTGGCCCTCTATCCTTTTGGGCCCAGTAACCTCACCTTCCCCTCATCCCTTCAGATCTAGAGTGGGACCGCCCCTCCTGTTACACCCCTCCAGGGCACCATGCCATCCCTGAGGTCGCCTCACAACCCATCCATGCCACTCTAAATGTTCTTGTTATTTTCATTTTTAAAATTTATTTATTTATTTATTTATTATTTTTGAGGTGGAGTCACTCTCACCCAGGCTGGAGTACAGTGGCATGATCTTGGCTCATTGCAACCTCCACCTCCTGAGTTCAAGCAATTCTCCTGCCTCAGCCACCCAAATAGCTGGGATTACAGGTGTGTACCACCATGCCTGGCTAATTTTTGTATTTTTGGGAGAGATGGGGTTTCAGCATGTTGACCAGGCTGGTTTCAAACACCTGACCTCAGGTGATCCACCTGCCTCAGCCTTCCAAGGGGCTGGGATTACAGGTGTGAGCCACTGCGCCTACCCCTATTTTTATTTTTTGAGATAGGGTCTCATTCTGTCACCCAGGCTAGAGTGCAGTGGTGCAATCGTGGCTCATTGCAGCCTCAACCTCCTGGACTCAAGTGATCCTCCCATCTCAGCCTCCTGAATAGCTGGGACTATACATTAGCTGGCACTACCACACGCAGCTAATTTTTTTTTTTTTTTTTTTTTTGGTTAGAGAAGGAATTTTGCCGTGTTGCTTAGGCTGGCCTTCAACTCCTGGTTAGGCTCAAGCGATCCTCCCACCTTGGCCTCCCAAAGTGCTGGGATTACAGGCATGAGTCACTGTACCTGGACAGTCCTGTTATTAAGCTCTCCCCAAATTAGCCCTCTTGAGCATGTCATCCCTTTTCTGCTGGGACCCCATGTTGACACAGGGCAGATGTGGACAGGGACAGTTGCCACACTCTGTATTCACCTAGCAGGAGAGCTAAGAACTCCACACAATGGGAGCCTTCGGGTGGAGCCCCCCACCTCCCGGCTCTGTATGGAGCTTTCTCTACAGTCTGAAGCTTCAGCTCTGGGATCAGCATCCATATTTGCGCTCTAGCGCCTTCCTGGGATCCTGCCGGGCCCCACAGCCCTGCCTGCCTGGGAAGCGTCTAGTGAGCCCAGAGCACCCTTGTGCCCCACCCTAAGCCCCACTTACCCGGGAAATGCCCACAATCTGCTCATCGGGCAGCAGGCTGACGCGCATGAAGCAGGACTCGAAGCTGGCCTCCTCCTGCTCCAGGAGGTCCTTGCCCTGCAGCACTGCCACGTGCAGGGTGTGGGAGGCAGCGTCGTACTCCATGCTCACCTCCACCTGGCCCAGGGTGAAGTCCTGCCCAAAGGTGTTGCTCACGGAGGAGATGGAGTTCAGGGAGTCAGCCGACTGGGACTTCCGGAGGGTCCCACAGTGGGCCAGGTCCAACTCCCGGCCCATCAGCTCCAGAGGCCCCAGCTCACTGATGCTCTCAAAAGTGTCCTCAATGCTGAGACTGCCTTTGCGGCTGGATGGTCCCCGTGTGCTGGCCCGCTGGGCATTCCAGGCAGGCACTCTCTGGGGATGAGAAAGAGGGATGTGGGAGCATCATGGGGGCCATAGGCAGGGTCACTGGGAGACGTCAAAGAGATGAGTAAGTCCTGTTCATTCTCGAATCTCCAAGTTCCCCTTTCACAGAAGCCCTGCATCCCTTAGCTAGGAAGGTCCTTGTTTAATATTATTTCATGTCACTTATTTATTTATTTATTTTTCTGAGACTGAGTTTCACTCTTGTTGCCCAGGCTGGAGTGCAATGGCACGATCTTGACTCACTGCAACCTCTCCCTCCAGGGTTCAAGTGATTCTCCTGCCTCAGCCTCCTGAGTAGCTGGGATTACAGGCACGCACCACCATGCTTGGCTAATTTTGTATTTTTAGTAGAGACAGGGTTTCTCCATGTTGGTCAGGCTGGTCTCGAACTCCCAACCTCAGGTGATCTGCCCACCTACCTCAGCCTCCCAAAGTGCTGGGATTACAGGCCTGAGCCACCGTGCCCAGCCTAGGAGTACACGAGACTTTTTTTTTTTTTTTTTTTTTGTAGCCAGAGTCTTACTCTGTCGTCAGGCTAGAGTGCAGTGGCACGATCTCGATTCACTGCAACCTCCACCTCCCGGGTTCAAGCAATTCTCCTGCCTCAACCTCCTGAGGACCTGGGATTACAGGTGTGCACCACCACGTCTGGCTAATTTTGTATTTTTAGTAGAGACGGGGTGTCTACATGTTGGCCAGGCTGGTCTCAAACTCTTGACCTCAGGCAATCTGCCCGCCTCGGCCTCTCAAAGTGCTGGGATTACAGGCGTGAGTCACTGCGCCTGGCCAACTATTTATTTATTTATTTATTTATTTATTTATTTATTGAGACAAAGTCTTGCTGCATTGCCCAGGCTGGAGTGCAGTGGCACAATCTTGGCTCACTGCAACCTCTGCCTCCTGGGTTCAAGCAATTCTCCTGCCTCAGCCTCCCAAGTAGCTGGGACTACAGGCACCCGCCACCACACCCAGCTAATTTTTGTATTTTTAGTAGAGACGGGGTTTCACTATGTTGGCCAAGCTGGTCTTGAACTCCTGACCTCATGATCCACCTGCCTTGGCCTCCCAAAGTGCTGAGATTACAGGCGTGAACCACCGCGCCCAACCCCTCAACTTTTTCTTAACGTGTTTATTTGTAGGGACAGAATTCCATACATCAAGTTGTCGATTGCAGTGATGTTTAGAAAAAGGAAAAACAGCTAGCACCCTAAGTGTCCCAGAAGAAGAACGGGTAAGAATACCAGAAGCCAGCCACTCAAGGGATGATGGAGCAGCCACAAGGGAATTGTACAACACAGGAAGCTTTCATGTTGGGTGACGCTCACCCAAATATTAATTTTTTTTTTCCCTTGGCCAGTCACGGTGGCTCACGCCTGTAATACCAGCACTTTGGGAGGCTGAGGTGGCAGATCGCCTGAGGTCAGGAGTTCAAGACCAGCCTGGCCAACATGGTGAAACCCTGTCTCTACTAAAACTACAAAAATTAGCCGGGTGTGGCAGCATGCGCCTGTAATCTCAGCTACTCAGGAGGCTGAGGCAGGAGAACTGCTTGAACCCAGGAGGCGGAGGTTGCAGCGAGCCAAGATTACGCCATTACACTCCAGCCTGGGCGACAGGGTGAGACTCCGGCTCAAAAATAAATAAATAAATAAATAAATAAATAAATAAATAAATATTTTTATTTTCCTTAAATTGACCTTGGGATTTGAGAAAACAAGAACCTTTTATACCACAAACATCTTCCATGCCTTCATTACCATAATTTTTTTTTTTTTTTTTTTTTGAGACAGGGTCTCACTTGCCCAGGGTGGAGTGCGATCACAGCTCTCCACAGCCTCAATCTTCTGGGCCCAAGCAATCCTCCCACCTCACTCTCCCAAGTGTCTGCGACCACAGGCGTGAGCTACTACACCTGGCAATTTTTTTTGTTTTTTGTTTTTTTTTGAGACGGAGTCTCGCTCTGTCGCCCAGGCTGGAGTGCAGTGGCCGGATCTCAGCTCACTGCAAGCTCCACCTCCAGGGTTCACGCCATTCTCCTGCCTCAGCCTCCCGAGTAGCTGGGACTACAGGCGCCCGACACCTTGCCTGGCTAGTTTTTTGTATTTTTTAGTAGAGACGGGGTGTCACCATGTTAGCCAGGATGGTCTCGATCTCCTGACCTCATGATCCGCCCGTCTCGGCCTCCCAAAGTGCTGGGATTACAGGCTTGAGCCATGACGCCCGGCCTTTTTTGTTTTTTTTTTTTTAAGATGGTATGTCACTGTGTTGCCTAGGCTGGAGTGCAGGGGCATGATCTCGGCTCATTGCAAACTCCACCTCCTGGGTTCAAGCGATTCTCCTGCCTCAGCCTCCCGAGTAACTGGAACTACAGGCATGCCCCACCACACCCAGCTAATTTTTTGTATTTTTAGTAGAGACGGCCTTTCTCCATGTTGGTCAGGCTGGTCTCGAACTCCCAACCTCAGGTGATCTGCTCGCCTTGGCTTCCCAAAGTGCTGAGATTACAGGCATGAGCCACCGCGCCCAGCCACACCTGGCTAATTTATTTATTTATTTATTGGTAGAGATGAGATCTTGCTTTGTTGCCCAGGCTGGTCTCCAACTCCTGGGCTCAAGAGATCTTTCTGCCTCGGCTACCCAAAATGCTGGGATCACAGACATGAGACACCGCACCTGGCTGCTTACCATAATTTTCATGGTTCCCCAATTTTCCATTGAGCAGATAATCATAATTTAATTCACTCTTTCGCACTGTTGGACACTTACGTTATTTCTACTTTTTCAGAAATACAAATGCTGCAGTATCGAATAGCTTTCTTAAAATCCTGGCTCAGAGGACACAGTCCCTTGAAGGTTTTTTGTTTTTGTTTTTGATGGAGTCTCACTCTGTTGCCCAGGATGGAGTGCACTGCTGCGATCTCGGCTCCTGGGTTCAAGCAATTCTTGTTTCTCAGCCTCCTGAGTAGCTGGGATTACAGGCGCCTGCCACCATGCCCAGCTAATTTGTTTTGTTTTGTTTTGTTTTGTTTGAGACGGAGTTTTGCTCTTGTTGCCCAGGCTGGAGTGCAATGGCACGATCTCAGCTCACTGCAACCTTTACCTCCCGGGTTCAAGCAATTCTCCTGCCTCAGCCTCCCAAGTAACTGGGATTACAGGCATGTGCCACCATGTCCGGCCAATTTTGTACTTTTAGTAGAGACGGGGTTTCTCCATGTTGGTCAGGCTGGTCTCGAACTCCTGTCCGCAGGTGATCAACCAGTCTCAGCCTCTCAAAGTGCTGGGATTACAGGCGTGAGCCACCGCGCCCAGTCAGTCCTTTGAAGGCTTTTGACAAACGTTGCCGAAATGCTCTTTGGAAAAGCGGGGTTTTTTTTGAGACAGAGTCTCGCTTTGTCAACCAGACTGGAGTGCAGTGGCACGATCTTGGCTCACTGTAACCTCTGCCTCCCGGGTTCAAGTGATTCTCGTGCTCAGCCTCCCGAGTAGCTGCTATTACAAGCATGTGCCACCACAGCCAGCTAATTTTTGTATTTTTAGTAGAGACAGGGTTTCACCATGTTGGCCAGTCTGGTCTTGAGCTCCTGCCCTCAGGTGATCCACCCACCTTGGCCTCCCAAAGTGCTGGTATTACAGACGTCAGCCACCACGCCAGGCCTGGAAAAGTTTTTTCAAATTTACACTCCCCCAACAGCATGTGAGATAGTCCCCCCAGACACCTTAAGTGAGTGAGCATGAGGGACTCTAATCTGGTAAAAGATTCTGGCTGTGCTTTCTGGAACTGTACATGACATTCGGAAAATTCTCTGCCATGTGTTAAATAAAACATTCGGCAACGTATAGTGAGAGCCCTAAGAATGTGTGTGCCCCCGATACAACAATTCCACATGTGGACATCCATCCAAAGTACACTATCCCAAATGAAGACAAAGTTTTACATACAGAACATCCACTGCATTATTTATCATGACATTTAGTCAATCATGGCACATGCACAAAAAGGAATCTCCTACAGTCATTAAAATAATGCTTATGATGTGTGTTCAACAGTATGTCAAAATGCTTCAGCTACAAGGGAGGTGAAAAGAGAAGGACCTGGCACGGTGGTGCACGCCTGTAATTCTAGCACTTTTCGAGGCCGAGGCGGGCAGATCTCTTGAGCCCAGGAGTTTGAGGCCAGCCTGGCCAACGTGGTGAAACCCTGTCTCTACAAAAAACAAAAAAAATTAGCTAGGCATCGTGGCTTGGGCCTGTAGTCCCAGCTACTTATGAGGCTGAGGTGGGAGGATTGCTTGAGCCCAGGAGGTGAAGGTCGCAGTGAATTGAGATTGTGCCAGAGCACTCCAGCCTGGGTGACAGAGTGAGACCCTGTCTCAAAATTAAAAAAAAAAAAAAAAAAAAGAAAGAAAGAAAGAAAGAAGAAATAAATATATCAGGTTACTCTGGACACGTTCCTATGGGGTAGCCCTCCTCCACAAGGAGCATTTTGAAAAAAAAAAAAAAAAGAAAGAAAGAAAAAGAAAGAAAGAAAAGAAAGAAAGAAAGAAAGAAAGAAAGAAAGAAAGAAAGAAAGAAAGAAAGAAAGAAAGAAAGAAAGAAAGAAAGAAGTTAGTAGTTCAAAAGCAGGCCAGGTGTGATGACTCATGCCAGCACTTTGGGAGGTCGAGGCAGATGGATCACCTGAGGTCAGGAGTTCGACACCAGCTTGACCAACATGGTGAAACCCCATCTCTACTAAAAATACGAAACTGACTGGGCATGGTGGTGCACGCCTATAATCCCAGCTACTTGGGAGGCTGAGGCAGGAGAATCGCTTGAACCCAGGAGGCAGAGGTTGCAGTGAGCCCAGATCATGCCATTGCACTCCAGCCTGGGCAACAAGAGGGAAACTCTATCTCAAAAAAAAAAAAAAAAAAAAAAAAAAGGTGCAGATGTGAAAGGGGAGGAGGGAGGTCTACTCCCCTTCAAAGGAGGACATCAACCAGGAGGAGGCGGTGATGGAGGGAGAGGGGCTGAAGGCCGATCTGAGTGGATGTGGGGGCATGGGGTTGCACTCGCTGTGCACCTGCAGGAGCAGAAGCCTCACCTTCTGCCTGGCCTCCGCGCAGCTCTCGCCGTACTTCTGCTGAAGGTACCTGTAGTCGTAATTGGGGAACGGAGAGGGGCTGGGGAAGCTCCCCGACGTCCAGAGCTTCCACAGGCTCACAGCTGCGATTCCCAGCAGGGCCAGGGCCCCTGCAGCATAGACACCCACCTCCCAGCCAGGGGGGCTCTTGATGACTGCAAGGCAAGGGCAGCCTCTCATTAGGGCTTCCTAGTGGATACAGACCCCCACCCGGGGAGCAGCACTGACTTCTTCATCGAATGGATATTTATTGGATGCCTACTATATGCTAGGTGCTGGAGATCCCATGTCGAAGAAGACATACACATCCCCGTGTTGCTTGGGACCAGAAGTGTTTTGGATTTCAGGTTTTTTCTGATTTGGGGATATTTACATTACACTTATAGGTTAAGCACTCCTAATCCAAATATCTGAAATCCAGAATGCTCCAATGGACATTTCCTTTCAGCATCATGTCGGCCCACAAAAAATTTCAGATTTTCGATTTTGGATTTTTGGATTGAGGATGATCAGCCGGTGTACGTAATATCCAGAACAAGCAAATCTACGTAGACAGAATTGACATCAGTCTATACAGTAGATTAGTGACTGCCAGGGACTGGAAAGTTGGGAGAAATAGGGTTTCTTTGGGGGATGATGAAAATATTCTAAAAATGGATTGTGTGGCTGGTCACACAATATACTAAAAACCACTGAACTGTACACTTTCAGTGGGTAAATTGCGCAGTACGTGAATCTTATCTCTCCGTGAATCTCTTACCAAAACAAACAAACAACTCAGCCACAAGTGAGGTGGCTGCAGGCTGTGCAGGGCTCGGAGACAAATCCGGATGCTCAGAGGCTTTTGCTCTGCTGATGAGTCAATAACCTTCCCTCTCTGAGCCTTGCTGCCCCCGAAAACGGAAATTATCAACCCCCTCAACTGTGGCAGGCGCATCCTCCCCAGCACCGTGCTTGGCACGCGGCAGGACCACACACGTTCCAAGGTTTTGCCTCCCTCTCCTAGGAAACCTGGCTCTGCTTCCCCACAGGAAGCCAAGGAGACACTGGGATTCATTCTGCAGGTCACAGTGCTGGCAAATACAGCTCTCTAAACTGTTCTTAGTTCTGTGTCTGTCTCAATTCAAGTGAGGAAACTGAGGCACAGAAAGACTAAAGAACTTACTCAAGGTCACAGAGCCCAGAAGGGGTGATGCTGGGACTCCAATTATGGCAGCCTGACCCCAAAGCAAGCGGGGTAACCAGTGCCCTACCCAGCCTCAACCCTGCACAGTTTCCTTGCAGCAAGGTGGAGAGAGGTGCGAAGGGCATCTCAGGGCTGGAGATGGATCACTGCACATCCATCGAGCACCCACCCTGGTGCGCCAGCAGCCTATGGGCACAGGTAGCCAGGGCTAAGTCAGCCCCAGGCCAAGTCCCTGTCCTTAAGTAGCTGGCAATCTAGGGGGTGGTGTGGGGCAGGCAAATAAATAGACAAATCATTGTACTGGGAATGGGAGCAGCCCGGGAAGGCTTCCCGGAGGAGGGACATGTAAGCCGAGATATCAGGAGGGGCAAGAAGTGTGCCAGGCCACAGCAACAGGAGCTGGAAGTCAAGGGCAGGAAGAATAGAGGGGTATAAAAAGCCCAGAGTGGGCAGAGTGCCTGGGGGAGGGAGGGAGGGGACCTGGGGCTAGAGAAGTTCCTCATCACTGCTGCCCTGAAGCCCAGATGCACTGGAGTGGAGCACACAGTGGGGCAGCCCCTCTAGGCTGCCCTGCTCTCTACTGAGCCACCTTTAGCCAGATCCACAGCACTGACTCATTGGCCTCCAGCCCTGATGCCCTCCCAGCGCTAAGCACCCTGTGAGGCTCTACTTTCTTTTCTTTTCTTTTTCTTTTTTTTCTGTTTTTTTTTTTTTTGTTTTTGTTTTTTTTTTTTTTTTTTTTTTTGAGATAGAGTTTTGCTCTTGTTGCCCAGGCTGGAGTGCAGTGGCACGATCTCAGCTCACTGCAACCTCTGCCTCCTGGGTTCAAGCGATTCTCCTGCCTCAGCCTCCCGAGTAGCTGGAATTACAGGCGTCCACCACCGTGCCCGGCTAATTTTTGTATTTCTAGTAGAGACAGGGTTTCACCATGTTGGCCAGGCTGATCTTGAACTCGTGACCTCAGGTGATCCGCCCACCTCAGCCTCCCAAAGTGCTGGGATTACAGGCGTGAGCCACCGCGCCCAGCCATGGCCCTACTTTCTAAAAGATGAAAACTGAGACCGAGGAAGGATAACGGGCACATCTGTTTCTCCACTCAAGGCCACCGGTGAGAAACGGCAGAGCCGGGCACAGGTACCTTGGCTTCCAGGCAAGTCACCCAGCACCTCTGGGCTTCAGACTCTGTCTGGAAAATGCAGATGACAAGAACATCCCCCGTCCAGCGGTCCCACTCTGATGAATCTATTCTAAAGGGAAAATCCCAACAAGTTTTATGTCTGGGATGAGTCATCGAGACTGTATTTATAACAGCAGAAATCTGGAAACAGCCTGAAGGTCCCACCGAGGGGGCCAGGGAGGGCTGGTGGCACTGTCTTGGGAGGAAATGTCACTGGCTTTTGAGCATGACAATTGAGGTCATTAGGATGGCACTGTGGCAATGCAGAGACACATTTCTGGCATTGTTAAGAGAGGAAAAAAAATGAATTCCCAACATGGTCTAATCACACAATTGTGATGTGTGTAAAAGTAATGCAGCACATAGTCACGGGCTGGGCAGACCAGGGGAAAACAGAAGGCATGGGTAATGATAATGGAAGGGCCGTGAAGAAACCCTCCTTCCTCCTGCTCCTGTTGACAGAATGTCACCTGTGGGCTAAATATACCCGTAACAAAGAGATCCACAGAGGCTCCCGGGCCCTGCCCTGCCAAGGCTTGGCATGTTCTGGGAGTCCTGGGAACAGGGTCACAGCAGGGCTGGGTGGTAGCCGGGGGTTGGCCAGAGGGCAGGACCGAAGGCCCAAGGTCTCCGAGCAGGCTGTGGGTATAGCCAGGTGGCAAAGCAGGTTCAGGCTCCCCTGTGCCTGAGGCTCTTGGGAGCTGAAGGATGAAATCCATGCCCGGTGTGGCAGAAAAGGGGGCAGGGCTGGGGACACAGAAGGAAAAGCCCTAGGAAGGTGACATGAAATGACAATTCGCATTCATTTGTTTACTGATTCTATGGAATACCAGTCTTTGGGTGATATTGGAAGTGGGGTCTAGGCTAAGACCGGAAATGAGGGGGACGAGGAGAAGGAGGAATAACTCCCCTTATGAAGCACTTACTATTTATGATTTGCCAGGTCCTGTTCTAAGCACGTCACATATATTAACCCATCCAGTCAAGGCAATCCTGTGAGGTTGGTTCTATTGTTTTCCCCATTTTACAGATGAGGAAGCTGAGGAACAGAGGAAAGATCTGCCTCCAGACAGACTGGGTCCAGATTTGCACCTGTAACCCTGACACCAGGCCCCAGGACTCAGGCAGGCAGAGGCAGAGGCAGAGGCAGGGAAGAACTCCAGGCCAGGAGAACAGCATGTGCAAAGCCCTGGCGCTGGGAGAGTGGCGTCTGCACTGTGCTGGGCGCTGCACATCCATCAGTTCTCTAAATCTTCCCAACAGCCCTGAGGCAAGGCTCATCGTTTGCATTTTACAGATGAGTAAGTAGAAGCTCAGGTTTCACCACCTGCCCAAGGTCATACAGATAGGGGGTGGGGGCTGGGGGAACTAGACCTGTGAGCCGGAGGGTGAAAAGTGATGGGAAAACCCGGGCACACCCTTCAGATCAGCCCTGAGCTTCCCAGGGGCTGTGTTAGGGTAGGAGCTGGAGTGATGGGGAGCCTGGGCCTGGCAGTCAGGAGACCTGAGGGCACGTCCTGACCCCGTTACACTCTGAGCCTCACTTCTCTCATCTGTGAATGGGGAGAAGAACAAAGGGAGAAAAGATGGCTGGTGTATTTCAGCTCTGACCCCATCTACCATCCATGGGGAGGGCTGCAGGAGTATGTCTGGAGTCTCGAGGCATCTCCGGGGCAGCTCCCATCTCCCTGCTGGGGCACAGGGTGACAGGGTGGGAGCAATGGCCCTGGACTGGGTGGCATCTATTTTTTTTTTCCTAATGAGACAGAGTCTCACTCTGTCGCCCAGGCTGGAAAGCTAGAGTGCAGTGGTGTGATCTCAGCTCACTATAGCTTCTGTATCTGGACTGGGTGGTCTCTGAGTTTAATGCCTCATGAATCTAACATTGACCTTCCTGGATTTATTTTCCCTTGGCTACTTGACAGCCTCCAAAAAAGGCCTCGGTGAGCGGATTCCGAGTCACAGGCTCATCCCCAGGGTGCAGCAGGACGAGGGTCTCCCTGGGGACCCTCTCAAGTGAAAGAGAGAAAGTCACTTTAACAGGAAGGAGTCACTTGAGTGGCAAGATGAGGAGACGGCAGACTGGGCCAAGCTTGATGTCCCCAGGGCTGTCTGACCTTGGGCAAGTCACTGACTGTCCTTGACAGTGAAGGCAATAATGGCAAGGACAAATTACTCATGTCCCACGGACACCTCCCACCCAGGCCTGGGGTAAGGGTCTCGTAGGCGTGATCCAGGAGGGGCTTGCCCTGGGCACTCACCGCTCAGATGGTATTCTGCCACATCCACTGCCATGGTGCCTGCTGTGGTGACTGTGACTGGAAGGGAAAAGAGAGTGAGCGGATAGGGCTGCAGAGAGTCAGCGTCCCGTCCCCAGGTCCTGGCCTCCCGGCACACGCATGCCTGTCATCCAGAGCTTACACTCCACTATAAGGGACGTGCTACTAAAGGAAGGCTTGGCATTTTAAGAAATGATGTTTAAAGCTCTTTTCAAGCATTCTAAGACTCTTTTCAGGATTGCCAGATAAAACATAGGATGCCCAGTGGCATGTGAATTTCAGATTTTGCTTTGGTTTCTTTTTTCTTCTTCTTCTTTTTTTTTTTTTTAGATGGTGTCTCTCTTTGTTGCCCAGGCTGGAGTGCAGTGGCGCGATCTTGGCTCACTACAGCCTCTGCCTCCTGGGTTCAAGTGATCTCCTGCCTCAGCCTCCCAAGTAGCTGGGATGACAGGCATGTGCCACCACACCCAGCTAATTTTTGTATTTTTGGTAGAGATGGGACTTCACCATGTTGGCCAAGCTGATCTCAAACTCCTGACCTCATGTGATCCACCAGCCTCAGTCTCCCAAAGTGCTGAGAACACAGGTATGAGCCACCGTGCCCGGCCAAATTTCAAATCAGCTTTTAATATGTGTGTCCCAAATAGTCCATAGGACATACCTACACCAAAATCTTTTCCATTGTTCATCCACAACGTCAATGCTCCTGGGCAACCTGTTTTTGTATTTGCCAAATTTGCAACCCCAGCTCATTTCCATCCTAACAACATCAGGTTGACCAGCGGCGACACGGTAGGCGACTCATAAGAGCAAGGCACCCCTGGCTTGAGCCAGAGCCTTCCTTCAAATGCTTCCATTTCGATTGGGAAAGAAAGGCTGTATCTCTGCAATATTCTATTATCAGTCCTTTCACTGCTTGGCATGGTTTCTTCCCCACCCCACCCTCCACCCCCAGCTTTTAGGAACAACTGAAGTTGTTCTAGAAAGGTCTGGAAGCTCCTACAATCCATTACCTGAAGCTAGGCGACTGCTCATTGTTTTATTATTGTGCTAAGAAGTAAATCTGGCTCACGGATGTGTTCTCGATGGGTGTGTGTGGGGAGTCCTGGAAAAGGGAAACTGGGATGGGCTGCGCTGATCTCAGGTCAAGGGCGCAGAGGGCCAGGATAACGCCCGCCCCAACTTCTGGATTCCCGTGTCGTTCAGAGAGGTGGTTACACACAGTAAGCCTGCAGGCCTGCTGCAGGGTGGTAGGGCGAGGGGAAGGGGACGTGAGAACTGCAGTGATGGCCTGGCCCGAGGGCAGCTGCCTTTCTGCCCAGCAGGAATGCCACCCACTGTGGCTTGATCTTCTGGCACTTTAAAGAAAAGCCAGATACCTGAAGTTTTTACATGCAGTTTCCTGAGTTTTAAAGGTAGCAACCAATTTGCAAAAAATCCAAACACCATTCAGGTGCAGTATAAAAAGTCCTCGGGGAGTGTGACCCACCAGTTCCTGACCCCTTGGAGCATCCTGTAGGTTCCCTTTGGGACAGGGGTTGAATCAGAGGGTAAAGCTAAGGCCCTCAACATTTTCAGGAACCCCGGGGTTCTCCCCAATCTGTGGCTTTGGAGTCAAGAAGCTGGGGTGCCATGCTTCAGTCAGGGTCATCCAGCACATTTGGGATGCCATAAGTCCTAGTCCACCCCCTTAAGTCCGGGGATGCCCAGGAGCCTCGAGAAGCAGGTCAGGTAAGTTGCACAGCCAGCTCCTGGCTCCCAGTTCTCCTGATGCTGCCCCCACTCCCACAAGGAGATGTGCGTTGTCATGGAGATGGAAGGGCGGTGCTAAGCCAGGAAGGGCTTCATCCGTCCTGACTAGAGTGGAAACTCATTCCTGGGCCTGGGCTGGAGATAATGATAGGAATAGGCAACCTTGCCGAGCACTTCTTATACATCAAGCCCCGTTCTAAGCACTTTGCTTATATCTGACCTCATTTAATCCTCCTAACAGCCCCATGAGGTAGGTACTATTATTATCTCTGTTTTGCGGGTGAGAGTCCCAGGGCATAATTTGCCCCAGGCCACACAGCTAATAAACTGTTCAACCCAGGCCGTCTGGCTCCATGCTCCTAACCACTGTGTCTCACTGCAGGTGGGCATATGGTTTCCAAAAAGTTTCCTAAGAATCTGCCAGTCAAATGGGTCACCGGGTCCCTGTCCAAGGTGGTCCTAGCTCCTGGCAGAAGCTGGCCTGGATATGCTGAAACACATGCTAACGTGCACACACGCACCTCCCAGCCTGCTGCTGCCTTGCCGGGAATCAGATAAGCCATCGGCTTTTTCCTGCTTACCTGGCACAAGCTGACTTTGCAAGAGTGGAGCCAAGCTGGGACAGCCAATGCCAGCAGCATACGAGCAAGGTATGCAAGGCAAAGTACATCCCACGGCACAACAGGCGTGCTATGGGACAAAGCCTCAAGCTGCATCCGGCCTCTGGCTGTCGGAGGCCCCATCACCTCCACGGCTGGTCCAGCTCAGACCCCAGACTCCCACGCTGTCTGTTCTCTTCTCTCCCTTTAACACGACATCGTTTCCCAGTGAGGTGAGATTTCAGTGAGGGTGTGAATCACTGCTAGGCACACCCCACAGAAGTTCCTTTTTTTCTTTTTTTTTTTTTTGAGACAGAGCCTCACTCTGTCACCCAGGCTTGAATGCAGTGGCACGATCTCAGCTCACTGCAATCTCTGCCTCCCAGGTTCAAGCAATTTTCCTGCCTCAACCTCCCAAGTAGCTGGGATTCGAGGCATGCGCCACTATGCCCAGCTAATTTTTGTATTTTTAATAGAGATGGGGTTTCTCCACGTTGGCCAGGATGGTCTCGGAACTCCAGACCTCAAGTGATCCTCCCGCCTTGGCCTCCCAAAGTGCTAGGATTACAGGCGTGAGCCACCGCCCCTGGCTTCCAAACAGAAGTTCCAGCCTGGTGCCCTGTGAAGGCAGAATCTCATCTGCCTGAGTGGAGGGAGAAGAGAACCGCGGGAGAGGTCGAGGCTCCTAGAGGGGGTCATCCTGAGCACAGGGTTTGTAGTCAGCTGCACCCAGCTCTGACTCCCATATCTGCCCCTGGCTAGCTGCAGTGGCCTTGGGCAATTTTCTTAGTCTCTTAGAGCCTCAGTTCCCCATCTGTAAAGCAGATGTGAGGCTGCCAGGAGGGTGGAATGAGAAGGTACGTGTAGTCAGGCTTGGTACGTATTGGCTGCTGTGGTTAGCAGCCTGGTGATGGCCCACACAGGCCCCCTAATCCCTAGTCTGGGCAGTGTGGGCAGCACTGCCAGCCTACAGATGTGTTGATTTGTCTTACATTTAAGTGAGTTGCCAGCCTTTTAAAATTGAAAAATTTAGCTGGGTGCAGTGGGTTGTGCCTGTAGTCCTAGCTACTGGGGAGGCTGATGTGGGAAGATCTCCTGAGCCCAGGAGTTCAAAACCAGTCTGGACAACATAGTGAGACTGTGCCTCAAAAGAAAGCAGCGTGCGGTGAGGGGGGGGACTTTCCCATTAAAAATTGATTTAAAAAGGATTTCCAGCTTCCCTTTGAAAGTTAGAAGATCTGGCCAGGCGCAGTGGCTCATGACTGTAATCCCAGTACTTTGGGAGGCCGGGAGCACCTGAGGTTGGGAGTTCAAGACCAGCCTGACCCACACGGAGAAACCCCAACTCTATTAAAAATATAAAATTAGCTGGGCTTGGCGGCACATGCCTATAATCCCAGCTACTTGGAAAGGCTGAGTCAGAAAATCGCTTAAACCTGGGAGGTGGAGGTTGCAGTGAGCCGAGATCGTACCATTGCACTCCAGCCTGGGCAACAAGGGCAAAACTCCGTCTCAAAAAAAAAAAAAAAAAAGTTAGAAGATCTGGGGACAATGGGTTTGCATCTCCTGACTCCAGCAGGAGGTGGAGCTAAGTCAGCTCTGCCCCTTCCCTGGCTGCATCCTTCTATTCACTGCTAGAACCTGTTGGCCCCTAGACGCATCCCTGTTCATAAGCCTGGTAAAGTGGACTTTGAATGAGCTACTTTTGGTTTTTTTTTTCTTTTTTTTGAGACGGAGTTTTGCTCTTTTATCCAGGCTGGAATGAAGTGGTGCGATCTCACCAAGCCCAGCAAAGCTATGGGAGATTAAGAGAGGTTAAGTGACTTGCCCAAAGCCACACAGCCAGCAGTGGTAGAGCTGGGCCTGGCAGCCATTCCTGCTGCCCAGTCCAGCCCCTCTTTCATTAGCAGTGACAACCCTCATGCCATCTTCCCCATCCGTAAGACCCATGGGGCAAATCCTGTTACTACCCCATCCTCCACAGACTGTTCTCCACAGAGGAGGAGAGGGAGGCTCAGAGAAGGGCAGTAAATTGGCCCAAGGTCACCCAACCAGTGAGCAGGAAGCCGAGACCAAGTTGCAAGTGCTGGCTGTACAGCAGGTACCCTTCTCAACGGCTTTGCTCACTTTTGAGACCCCCTGACTCCATCTCACCCGGGACGACCTCAGTGGGCTCCCGCTGGCAGCCTGGAGGTCTGCCAGGCAGAGGGACTGTGGCTTTGGCTAGAAGAGGATAGTGACAAGGTACAGTAGGACCAGGGCAGCCTGTGACCAGAGCGTCCCCGGTGTCCAGACACACAGCAAAGAGCATAACATGGGGACCAGAGTGGCTCCAGACCCTCACTGAGCTCCCAGATTGCACATCCCACCCCCTGCAGCACCCCTCCCCATCCGACCAATTCGTTCAGTCCCAAACCCCCAGACCCTAAACTGCACAGAGCTTACTCATTGAAAACAGCTCTAGGTTCAAATTCCAGCTCGATCATACCTACCTAGCCATATCTCCTTACTGCTGCATGCATGCGGACATAATATGTGCTAAGTGCTTAGCACTGCGTCTGGTTGTAGTAGGTACACAATGTGGACATGATGATTCAATGGATTAATGGATCTCCCTTTTACAGATGAGGAAGCTGGGGCCCGAGGTCACCTAGCATACAAGTAGCAACACCGGGATTGGTGCCAGGGTGCAATGGATCTGGGCTTGGGCTCTTGGCCACCATGCTGACTCCTGACCAGGCAGGCCTTTTGGGGTGGGGAGTTGGAAGAGCCCCCCACTTCCCCCGGCTTTGCTGGAATCAGACCATGGCAGAGGCCCCTCCTGGGCTTGTCAGAGAATTGGCTTTCCAAGAATGCTGTGTCTCGGCAGGGGAGAGGGGCCTTCTGTCCCTGCCCTCTGCTCCACCCCACCTCCTTGCCCAGTGTCCTCACATCATTCTCTGGCTAGCAAGGGAATGGGAAGGGTTGGGAGGTGGGCCCAGGAGAGCCTCACCCTTCAAGCTGTGAGCCTCTTCAGGATCTTTAGGTTGAAACCTTTTCAAGTCCCCCTCCTCCGCTTTCTGAGATAACCACATCCTGCTGCCATCCCCCAAATAGCCCACAGAAACCGCAGGACAGACTGGCTGGGAGGTGCTGGCTGGCATTTCTTGGGCACCTACTGTGTGACTTGCCCTGTGTCATCTCAGCACCACGGCCCTCTGAGGGGGCTGCTACCCTGCTCCTTGCACTGGAGAGGAAACTGAGGTGCAATGTGGGCAGCACTGCCAGCCTACAGATGTGTCTTATTTGTCAGTCAGTCACCAGAGCTGACAAGTGGCAGAGTCCAGGTTTGAAACCCAGGCTGGGAGCCCCCACTCTGCAGAGCTGCTTAGGAAAGCTTTCAGACTTCAGAGTAGGGAGGCTGGGGGCTTGGGGACTTGTCCTAACCCTTCTTCACACTGGCTATGGTAACTTGGGTGGGTCTCCTGCCCTCTCTGAGTCTCAGTTTCCCATTTCTAATAGGAAGCACTATTGCTGCTGTGCTCTAAAACTGTAACCCCCTGATGGGGAGAAGGAGCTGACATTCCATGGTGCAGCTTTCCCAGGCTTTTGGGAATGGAGGAGGGCGGCACACAGTCTCTCTGCAGCCCCTGGAAGAGGACTCCCAGGATGGCCAGTTTAGGGCCTTCCACCCACAGGCCAGGCTCCCGGCCCCCCACCTCTCTCCCCGCACTTCAGCCCAAATCTACAGCCTTGAGGCCCTGAGTCTGGGCAAGCTTCCTTCCCTGCCCCGCCGTACCCCTCTCCTAAGCTCTGGAAAGCCCCCCACTCAGGCTGGTGCCACCGGAGACTGAGGGTCATCTCTGGCTCTTCACACAGCCAGTGTCTCCTTGGGCTGGGGTGCAACGTTTCCCTCCAGATTGGGACGGTTCCCGCAGACCCAACGCTTCTGCCTCAGGAACCCCCAGGGTGTATGGGGACCGGAGTGTCGGGAGGAGGTGTGAAGCCAGAGCAGGGACAGTGAGGACAGTCAGGTTGCTGAATGCGAAAGTGAGGGGCGTGTGTGCAGCGTGGGCGCGGGGAGGCGTGTAAATGGTGGGGTGAGCCGCGTGTGTGCACACGCGGGGCGTGCGATGCGATGCGCACTGCGCGGAGTGGCTGGGCCGGGTAAGGGTGCCCAGCGTGCGCGGTGCCGGGCATTTGTTCGTGTGCAAGCCGCGCGGAGGTGCAGGCGCGCAGAGTGCGCGGGGCTCTGGGGTCCCGGGCCCCGGACCCGAGGAGGGGGCTGTGTGCGTCCGCGATCAGGGTGTGATCCCGGCCGCGCACGGGGGTCGTCGGGGTGCGTACTCACCCGGGCTTCGCGGAGGGGCCGCCGCTCCGGCTGGGCTCCAGCTGCCGGCCCGCCTCCCGCAGCGCGCACGCACCTGCGCCTAGCCCGGCCGCCGGCGGCAACGCCACCCCTGCAGTGTCGCCGGGCGCCCGCCTCCGAGGGACGCGGCGCGGGCCAGGGGCTCGGCCGGGCCGGAGCGGTGGACCGGAGCTGCGCCGCAGTCCGGGCACGCTCCCAGGAGCCCGCCGCGCGCTCCCTCGCGCTCGCCCGCTCGCCCGCTCGCTCCCTCTTTAATTTAAAGTGACAACCTCGAGCGCTGTCTCTGCTCCCGGGGTCCGAGCCGGAGATCCCCAAGCGCGTCTGGGATCCAGGGACGCCCTGAGGCCAAGCCCAACCCCTCGCTCCCAGGCCTGGGGACAGGGATGGGAGGCATCCAAGAGGCAGGCCAAGCACTGGACTCAGAGCCAGCCGGCCTGGGTTCTAGCCCCAGCCTTCACGCTCTGGGTTATCCTGTTCCCTTTCTAGGCCTCAGTTTCTTTACCTTAAAAACGGACCCGATACCGCGCACCTCCGGCAGCCAAAGAAAACACCGACAGGAGGCGCAGCGGAAAGTTTCCCCTTTTCTGAATGGATAATTACTCCCTCCCACCACGACTGAGCTGTAACTGTAGGTCAGCTCTGTGCTGGTGCCTTACAACATCATCTCAGTCCTCACTGTGGCCTAGTCTGGTCGTGGTGACTCCATTTTTTACATGAAGAAACAGGCTCAGAGAGGTGACCAAGATCACAGAGCCAAAGGTCAGAGCCAGAATTGAACCCAGGTCTGTGTGACTTCAAACTCCATACCTTTAACCACTAAGGGGTCGTGCTTTCTCTCCTAAAGGAATGAATGAATCATTCAGGAGATATTTATGACGCCCCCGCAGGGGCTGGGCACAGTGCCAGGTGTGGGCGATCTCCCATCTTCCGGGAACAGGGGACAGGTCCCTCCCTGCCCGCGCAGTCTGGCAGTGAGGCACAGCTTGCATTGGGAGGGGCTGGGTGCGGGGGAAGTGCCACATGTTGTGGGCACAGTAACCAGGGGAGCAGGCTGGGTGGACACCTGGGGAGACCTCTCCAATGGTCTGGGGTGGGGTGAGGATCCCAGATGGGGAGCAAGTGTGCAAGGGTGGCAGTGCTTCCTGGCTCATCCACACTCTGGGCTTTTAGAGCTGAGGGCAGCCTGTGGGCACTGACCTCTCAGTGGAGGCTGGGTCTGTGCTGGCCTGGTGCAGTGCAGGCATCCTTGGTCTAGAAGACAGGGCGCTGGGGAGCCCTAGAAAGAGAGCTGCATCTGGCTAACACGGTGAAACCCCGTCTCTACTAAAAATACAAAAAAATTAGCCAGGCATGGTGGCGGGCACCTGTAGTCCCAGCTACTCGGGAGGCTGAGGCAGGAGAATGGCACGAACCCGAGAGGCAGAGCTTGCAGTAAGCCAAGATCGCGCCATTGCACTCCAGCATGGGCGACAGAGCCAGACTCCATCTCAAAAAAAAAAAAAAAAAAAAGAAAAAAAAAGAAAGAGAGCTGCATCCTACCCTCACCCACAGGGGGCGCTTTTGTCTTCATTTCATTTCCTGGACCTGGAACAGAACAAATAGAAAGGGCATTTTATGGGGCGGGAGGGCCTGGGTAATGGGCCCTGAGCTTTCACTGCCATTTCCCATTTAACTCAACCTTCACAGCCAGCTGCAGCTTTGGTACGACTGAGTCCATTTGAGTCCATTTTCTTCACAGGACACCCAGGCCTGGGGAATGAATGGCCGAGTTCCTGGTTTGGAAGGGAGTTGGGAGTCAGACACATCATCAGGGCATAAAAGGGGCCAGACTCTAATAGGGGATTCTACCCAAGGAACAAAAGACAAAGTTGAGGCCAGCACAGTGGCTCAAGCCTGTAATCCTAGCACTTTGGGAGGCTGAGGTAGGCGGGTCACTTGAGGCCGGGAGTTCGAGACCAGTCTGGCCAACATGGTGAAACCCTGTCTCCACTAAATATACCTGTAGTTCCAGCTACTCTGGAGGCTGAGGGAAGATAATTGCTTGAACCTGGGAGGCGGAGGCTGTGGTGAGCCGAGATTGGCCTGGGCAACAGAGCAAGACTCCATCTCAAAAAAACAAAAAAGCAAAGTTGAGGCTGGTCCAGTTGTGGTGTCACCCTGGGGAGCTGATGCAGGGGCGGGAATGAGCTTGAAATGAGATCTTGTCAATTTCATGTTGAACACCCTTCAGTGATCAGAAAAGTCTACACGGGTACACCAAAAGACAAGGCTAGAATGTTCACAGTAGCCCCAAACAGGAGACCACAAATGCCCCTTATGAATCGAATGCATAGATGCATTGTGGTATAGCAACACAATGGAAGACTGTGCCATTAAGAAGAGAAGCAAAACTACAACCACTGATGAAAGGTGAATGAATCCACCAAGTGCAGTGGCTCACGCCTGTAATTCTAGTACTTTGGGAGGCCAAGGTGGGTGTATTGCCTGAGCTCAGTTTGAGACCAGCCTGGGCAACGTGGTGAAATGTTGTCTCTACTGAAAAATACAAAAGTAGCTGGGCGTGGTGGTGGGTGCCTGTAATCCCAGCTACTCAGGAGGCTGAGGCAGGAGAATCACTTGAAACCAGGAGGTGGAGATTGCAGTGAGCCAAGATCACGCCACTGCACTCCAGCCTGGGCGACAGAGACTCCGTCTAAAAAAAAAGTGGGTGAATCTCACAAATGTACTGCTGAGCTAAAGAAGCTGGACACATAGAACACTGCTGATGGTTCCATTTATAAGAGGTTCAAAGACAAGCAAAACTACTCCGTGCATGGGACTCTGCTCCCCATGGGGGTGGTGACTAGAGGGGCCTACGGGAGGATGCTGGGGTGCTGGTCACACTCTGGTTTTGATCTCAGTGCCCATCTCCTGGGTGTGTTCACTTTGTGAAAATTCATGGCATTGTACACTTATGATTTGTACACTTTTGTGCATGTGTGATATGCTTCGGTACAATTTACAAAAGCAAAAACATCTCGTGTGGCTGCATACTGCACTGGAAATGGAAGCCAAACTCCTTTCTGGGGCCTACAGGCCCTGCTGGCCTCTCTGAACTTTCATGCCACCATCCCTGTCACCTGCTGAGCTCCTGCCTCCTGGGCCTTCTGGCCTTCCCGATGCCTGCCAAGCCATTTTCCGCCTCAGGGACTCTCCCTTGCTGGTCCCTCTGCTTGGAGTGTTTTCCCTGCTCTCACCAATGGCTTCCTCCAACTTCTGTGCATCACACACCTCAGAGGTCACCTCCTCTGAGCGAAGCCCCTACTCATTCTTCCTTGGCCTCTGGGACACTTGGGACCGGTTCCTGAAGAGCAGGGCACCTCAGGGGAGGCCCCACCCTGAGGTCTGGCCCAAAGGATGCTCCATCTGAGAACCATAGAGATGCTGTGTGTGGAGTCAGTGACACTTACAGGTGAAGAGACTAGAAAGAAAAGGCTCCCAAGGCCACACAGCTGGGCCCTAAGACCAGCGCTGCAGCCAGCGGCTCTCTACTTTTTTTTTTTTTTTTGAGACAGGGTCTCACTCTGTCACCCAGGCTGGAGTGCAGTGGCACAAAGATGGCTTACTGCAGCCTTGACTACCCAGACTCAGGTGATCATCCCACCTCAGCCTTCTGAGTAGCTGGGATTACCGGCTCGCACCACCACGCATGGCTAATTTTTTGTATTTTTGTAGAGATGGGGTTTCGACACATTGCCCAGGTTGGTCATGAACTCCTGGGCTCAAGTGATCCCCCCTCCTCGGCCTCCCAGAGTGTTGGTGATACAGTTTGGCTGTGTCCCCACCCAAATCTCATCTTGGATTGTAGTTCCCATAACTCCCACGTGTTGTACGAGGGACCCAGTGGGAAATAATTAAATCGTGGGGGCCGGTTTCCCCCATACTGTTCTCGTGGTAGTAAATCTCATGAGATCTGATGGGTTTTGTGATTTTTTGAGATGGAGTTTCGCTCTTGTTACCCAGGCTGGAGAGCAAAGGCACGATCTTGGCTCACTGCAACCTCCACCTCCCGGGTTCAAGCGATTCTCCTGCCTGAACCTCCCAAGTAGCTGAGATTACAGGCATGTGCCACCATGCCCAGCTAATTTTGTATTTTTAGTAGAGACGGGGTTTCTCCATGTTGATCAGGCTGGTCTTGAGCTTCCTGAGGTGATCCGCCCACCTCAGCCTCCCAAAGTCCTGGGATTACAGGCATGAGCCACTGTGCCCGGCGATCTGATGGTTTTATAAGGGGAAACCCCTTTCCCTTGGCTCTCATTTTCTCTCGTCTGCCACCATGTAAGACGTGCTTTTTGCCTTCTGCCATGATCGTGAGGCCTCCCCAGCCACATGGAACTGTGAGTCCTTTAAACCTCTCTTTCTTTATAAATTGCCCAGTCTTGGGTATGTGTTTATGAGCAGCATGAAAATGGATGAATACAGTTAGAACTGTAGGCGTTGAGCCACTGCACTCGGCCTCAGTTCTTCACTTTCCAGGCCCTGGCTCAGCTCATGAGGCACCAGCCACGTGTCTGCCCTGTGCATCCCACAGGCCCAACTCTTTCACTTCTTTTTTCTTTTTCTTTTTTAAGAGACAGAGTCTTGCTTTGTCACCCAGGCTGAAATGTGGTGGCAAGACCATGGCTCATTGCAGACTTGAATTACAGGGCTCAAGCCATTCTTCCACCTCAGCCTCCTAAATAGCTGGGACTACAGGCACATGTCACCATGCCCAGCTATTTTTCTTTTATCTTTTTCTTTTGGGTATTGCTCCTTGTGGAGCAGGGCTACCCCACAGGCAGTGTACCCAGAGCAGCCAGCCCAACTATTGAAAAAAGAAAATTTTTTTTCCTTTTTTGAGACAGAGTTTTGCTCTTGTCCCCCAGGCTGGAATGCAGTGGCAGGATCTCGGCTCACTGCAACCTCTGCCTCCCAAATTCAAGAGATTCTCCTGC